TAATAATCAAATTATATATAATTTGAGAGCATAACGGAATCTGCGAAATGTGAATTAGCTTTCGTGCATAGGACGGTTAGCTGTTGCAAGTTATCTACTTGAATCTGCAGGAGGTGTTTCCAGATCAGTCACAAAAAAAAGAGCGAAAATATTATAGTCCTTAAATTGCTCTATGTGGCCTAGATTGCAACATTCCGGGAATTATATCTAGCACTATTTATTAAGATTTACTTCAGCCAAACATCTTTCAGTAGAACGCACTGCTAATCATTGTACCCTGACAACACATCGCCAACCCTCCGCAGTTTCTCAAGAACTTCCAAAAATAATTGTTGCAGGCGCTCTATGGCGGCCATTATAAAGCAAACACTATATGCATATGTAAACTCGACCTTTTATTGAATAGGAATTAAAGGTTAAGGTCACGCAAAAATGTTTGCACTTTATAGTTGATAGTACCTACGTAGACAACACCCAAGTGATGTCAGTGTACTTTTATATAGTAATACAAATGTATAGTAGAGACTCTGTTGGCATCGTTAACTTGTTTAGTTAAATAACAACTAATTATTTATAATCTCATACATTGTGCGGAACTGGCATAGTTTACGGCTATGCTCCAGAAAATCACAAAGTTTTATGTCGCTTGGTATCGCTTAGTCTATACATGTGTCGTAGTGGAGTAACACCTATCTTTATAGTAGTATACTGTAGCGATGAGTTACAATTAGATCTGTACAATAAAATAACAAACCTTAATTACATGTATATAATTTATTATAATATATTAAACAATTGTAGTAGTACATTAGTTTGTTTCTGTTAGACAACCATAGTAGATAGTAAATTTTCATCAAAATATTGCTTTGTATTAATTACATAAGTTCCATTCAAACATCTAAATTGCTTACATCGATATCCAGGCAGCTACAGGGATAATAAACTTTCTCATAAAAATGTATGTTCAATCATTTATAAGTGGTAAAAACACTACACTGTCGTTGTTTGTACTGAGCGAATTTCTTGTGCTTATCTTATAATCTTTATCTTCCGTAACATTTCTTCGCTAAAATTACTTTAATAAACATAACAATGCACATCAGAAATATCAGTTTATTATGTTTATACATAAACTCATAAGAACATGTTGAACCGGTTTTTTTTTTGGAGTACTGCCTATTTTATACAAGATACGAAAAAGCTACAATTTGCAGCAGGTACGAGAGTTACTATAATAATCTCATTTACGTTTAACACAGCTTAGGACCACCTTTAAATACAATACCCATAGATATTAGTTGCGTGGCAGTATATTTTTCAGGAGACCGATTGGCCCATAAACAAATTTCCCGCTCAACTTACGCAGTCAAGAGCACAGCTACTAGATTGTAGAAAGAATCGTTTAATTTCAGCTCTACAAGTCTATTGTGTAAGCCACCACATATGTTTTCTAGGCTACGAAGTAGAAAAGGTATTTATCAGTCGTGCCAACAACATGGTCTCCTTGAAGTGTAGCAGTTAAACTGGACGACTAACTGCAAAATGAAACCTTAGTAATTTGGCATTATGAAACCCCTGTGGTCAAAATGCTAGATGTATCTTATTTATGTTGATTGGTTTGTTATCTTGCTTATTCAGGGAACACTATGTTAAGCACTTTGAGTGCAAGCTCGAATCCCATAAAGCACGCGGCGTTGGCAGGAAAAGCGCGAATCATGACTGGCGTACAACCTTTGTAGAAAGCTCGAATACCCTCAGTGCGCATCGTTTCTTTTAAAACATCACGGACACCATTGTATTTACCCTCAGGGGCTGTTTGCAAACGACTTTTGAGCACGTCAGGTGGAATAGCTACTAGCCAGTTGAAGATACCGGCCATACCTCCGGCAAACAGTGTCTTTCCGATAGAAAGGTCGCTTCGACTACCACCCACTGGCGTTAGTACTGTTTGGAGCCATTCATAGGTCATGAAATACATACCGGAGGCAGGCAGATCACGAAGAAGCGTGGCACAGGTACCTTTATAAATCGACCGCAACCCGCCTGTTCGGTACAATTGTTTAACACAATCCAATGGTCCCTTATAAATTGTGCCGCTTTGCTGAACCTGTTTAACCAATACGAAATGTTTCTTAAACACCGAAGTTTCGCTTCTGTGGGTCAACTCCTAGTGCAGCAATAACAGTGTAAAATAATGTAAGGTCTTTTGCCTATCTAAATTCTCCGCATCAGCGGTGGCTATAAGGTACTCAAGTTAAGGATTCATCTTATTGCAAGATTAGGCGACACTTACCGGATGAGAATTTTCGCTGTATGCAAACGTCACAAATTTCCAAAATAATATTATTATTGATAATACGTAATTAGCTTACGACGTCCTCACATTTCAAACTGCTATACATAAAGCTAAGGCAAACGCGTAGGTGCAAACAACGCATGAACATGAATTTGCCACTTTAAGGCTGTACACCTGAATACAGATCCCACATGTACCTAAAACAGCCTAAGGTCTTGCAAAGCACGGGCGAATTAAATTGATTAAACATAAAAAGTAAGAGCAACTAGGTACCTGCAGAAGGCATTTTATGCGCTCCCCAGGAGCCATTATCGCTGTTGTGAAGACGCCTGATAGCATTCCTGCCATGAATAGCTGGTGGTACCGAAGTTGTTCATTCGGGTCCTTTTGTTGCAATTTCTTGCCGATTCCAAATCCAAAGAAGCAGACGGCGTACATTGGAGTGACGCCCATGATAGGGGCTGCCATACCTTTGTAAAGACCACGAACCCCTAGCAGCCGAACCAAAAAACAAAAGCCTATTACACTAGATCATCATTTAATTCACATATCGCAACTACAGGGACTGGTATTTTAAATCATCAGATATATACTTATGAGTATTTTAGATGAGTTTAATCAGTATTTCACTCCTTGCTTGTCTTGGATATTTATTAATGTGGTCTTACACAAATGTTAGCCAAGGGTTTGACTTTTTTGTTCGCTATTATTACATACAAACACGGTTAATACGTGCATTTCATTATGTAAGCTGACCTTCTCGTGCAATGGTTTTCTTGGCACAATCAAACGTGCCTTTGTAAAGGGGTTCTTGTCCGGCCATCGGCTTGGGCATCGTCTGCAAACGGACCTTAATCGTGTCTAGAGGGTGTCCGGAGGCTACTAAGCAGATACCACCAAAACCTCCAGCAAAGAGCTCCTTTACTGGTGATGCTCTACGGCCCCCGGTAGGTTTCTTCGTATCAGTTACCTCAGACATGATGCGGCTTCTATTTAGTACGCTGCAATGTGAATTTGAAACAATTCTTTTATTAAAATTTGCCGAAGCATTTGGTATTGGATATCTATTATACAGGAAAGTGAATGAAAACGGAGCCGAACATACGTGTGAACGATAGTTAACAAAAATTACAATTTAAGCAGCATCTGTTTCAGTGTTTTACGGGTTTTTCCAATGGGTTTACAGCACTGTGAATTTACATCTTACTCTACTATAAGCTTACTTTTACATCCCTAAATTAGAATGCATTGGCTCCGGACAAAATACAACTAGTTCGGTATGCATCAATCTTGACATGAAACGGTCATTGACATTTTACCCAACTATCCTACACAAAGTTCTCGATTCCCTAACCTTACATCGAGCAGGAATATCGTGATCGCTTGGATCGCTACAAATCAAGTTAAAAGAGTTCGCAAAGTTCCTGAGACCTGTATTTAATATTAATACTAATTTTTTCTTTTTTCGCCGATCTCCGTCTCATCTCACATTAGCATGCGACAACATTTGGAACTATGCAGGCTATAAGCCCTTAAATTGAAATGTGAAAGCAAATAAACTGTAGCTCGAATTTTCATTCACACAAAAATCGGCTTTGTTAGGTTACCACATATTATTTTATTAGGTTTGGCCACTTGAAAAACAGAACGCCATGTGAGACTGGAGTTTTGGCGTAAAATCGCTTGAATATTTGACAACAATTTCATTGGTAGCGCAAAAGCACAGTATTGTTGGTCAGTCTACAAACAAAATACAATTTCGATTTGAAATCCGGATTTCAACATTGTTCTCAACATTGGCCCTCAAGATAAAAACAATCTTTAATACAATTAGCAGCATTTACTTCGTGACACAACGTATACTCTCTTTTCTTTGTAATACCTATATAACATCCTTGAACAATAAGACTACGACAAATAAGCCATACACACCTTCCTAACTTATAGTTCCATTTAATTTCTGTTTAATTGCTTTGTTTATTCGACACGGCCTCATAAATTGTCACGAGTCCTTGGCGTCCACCAAAATGACCCCCAACTGCGTTATTTAAGAGCAGAATTGTTGTCATACAATCCGTCCAGAACCGTGTGCGAGGGCAATGACATGCCAACAAGGGGCACTTGAGAATTTCTACATTTATATCGAGAAAGCTGTAGTTAAAGCTGTAAAAAAAAGTAACAAAAATTAACTGAAAGATCAAGCGGGTCAATAAGACCCCAAGACGATGTTGTAATAGTTTTTAAGGAAAAATTCCGAATAAACAAATAGAATAAGGTGAGGTGACTTTGTAACGCACACGCGTGTGACACACTGCACTTGTTTATCATTCTGATACTGCCCAACGTTCGATATTCGAGTGACATAACTTCCGTAACATTGGAGCCCCACATAATAACCGATTAAAATTATTTAAATGCAGTGGCTTGAGTGCAAGATTGCACGGTATTATATTGAATAGAATCATATACTTTACGAACTAAGCTTTATATATTTGGAAGGTAAAATTCAAGAAGGATTAATGTGATGAGAGATTTACGGGAACTGTGATTACCTTACATAGACCACTAATGATGAGAGCTACGCGAATAGTTTGTCGGTACACTAATTTTGCAGACAGCATAATTAGTGAGCAATCAACTCACCTATATACACATATGCCAAGAACAAATATTTTTTGAGGATCGATATATCATGTAGTTAACAATAGAATACATGCAGTATGAAAGAATACTTGAATCGATAAGAATTTATATCTAGAGCCGCAGTCAAGGGTCTTGATGAATTTCTGATTTAGAGCTTGTTTTCGCATTTACCGGCGCCTTGGACACCATTTATTTTTTTCGTCTGCAGCTACCGGAATATTTTGAACTGTGTGGCACGCTAATTCACCTGAATCGCAAAACAGAATAGGTAGAATGATACTCAATGTTCTAACAAATCAAGTTTAGATGGACGAAAAAGCGATGATTTCTAATCACTTGCTCGATAATTTCAAGTATTGAATCTAATGTGAAATCCAACTACTATGAAATAACTGTTCATTTATTTATAATATTTCCAACAAAGCTATCACACAGCATAATCAGAGTACTCTTATACTCTTATATGCCCTAAATATAACTGCTTGTACATGTATATCTATCCCTGATACAGAAGTCTTTTACAGAAGGGCATTTCTTTTCTCGCACATCTCGAAAAATTTAATCGACGACAACGCACAAGTTCTATTTGAGTTGTTCTGCTCACCCACATCAACTAATTAGACAAACACAGTCAAATGCCGCTTTTTGAATGTAGCAAATATGCGGGTATCGAAATTATCTTTGCAGCCGATCGTTTTATCCGCAGAGCGTAGAACGACACCTGATAAGACCACTGTAGTCTTCGTTGTCGGCCACCGCAACGAATGCTTCTAACCCAACCCAACTTGCGCTGTCGCGAACAGCTTCCTCCTTGTTGCACGGTAGCCACAGTAACCGCTACTCTAAAGGTCGCCATTTTGTTTTTCCCCTCTCTCTCTCCCTCTCCCTCTGTGGCAGATGCGCGCGCATGGGCGAAAGTGCCTGTACATTCGACTTAGGAAGTCACTGCGTTCAAGACGAGGTCACCATTCTATTTTTATTCGAAATTTGCCCGCCAGTTGATTTTGTTGGCAAGATTACTGCTCAAATTAAAATAGTATAGTAGTACATATAAGCAGTAGAAATGTTGTGTGTAATTAATTAGAATGACACTTAAGCATTAATCATGGCCTATGTTATTAGATTAGCTAAACAACATAAAGTTTTCTCAGATTTCATTAAAATCTGACAGTAATAGAAGCCTTAAGAAAAACTGCATGTGTTGGTGGAACATTTATCGCCATCAGTACTTACCATTAGCCGTTTTCCACGATCACACGATGCCACTGTGCAAACTCCTGTCCTTTCCTAGACACTTCCTAAATCAAATAAACATGGGCTGAAAAAGTTTTGAATCTATACTTACAATCAACGTGAAGCGAAGCTTAATCCGTGTCTTAGTTCGTAAATTTAAATAATATATGAATCATCTTAAAGATATACCACGGACGTTCTGTTTATGCTATATATTTTACTTCATGTTCGCAAATAAAGCGGATACACAAAGTAAAGGCTAATTGGGGTCTAAAGAAGTCTACAGCGATAAATATACTCACTTCAATAAATAATCGAGAAATTTTCATTTCAGAGTTAGAGAGCCAACGATACACTCCGTCCCGAGTTGGTTCAGTTATATCCAGCTAATAAACGAATTTACGATTCTTACATAGCTTATCATGGAAACATAAATCCCCGTTGGAGATTTGTTTTCGCAAATCGATGTTTGTAAACACATTGTCCAAAGAGTTCACCTAGTTTTTTAAAACGAGAGCTTACATTTTAGCAGTAAAACCGCGATTTTGCTGCAAGCCGCGTAATACGTTATGAGAGGCGTGACAGGGTGTCATAGCACAGCCTACATATTCCGAAGGCACATTTAGCGATTTGGCAGGGACCAAACGGATCCATAGGGAAGTACCACCTATGCACTTTCATGTTGTCATTAATTAATGAATGTTTAATTCACTTTATTGAGTTATGGTCTAGTTACGATATTGTTACTGCACAACACATGTTATCTTGATCTTAATTCTAATTTGAAATCATCCCGAGCCCTTTTGGATTGGTCGTTTATTTAAAATGGTAGACTTCACACTAGGCACTCACCTAAACACTGGCACTCCAGTTATGAATTTTCTGAATCATGCTGGAAATAAATACTGTTCGCTAGCCTATAAAGATTGAAGCGAACTTCATGCTACATGTAGAAATACGAGACCGCTTCTAGCTCACAACAGTATCTCACTTCGAATATTTGGACTTTGGATATAAGATCCATTACATAACCACATTGTGAACTAGAAGTTTAACCCATTCGATGGAAAGAAGCCAACGTTATATTTCTTCAAATTTTGCACAACCTTAAAAATCCTGTTTTCTATTGGATACCAGCTTTAAAGATAAACACTTATTCACATCATAATTTAACTTAAAATTTTTCGTTACGAGAATCAGGATAAATATCTGACAGTAAGATCATCCTGATAAATATTCAGAAGGCCTACTATTTTTTAAAACCATGAACAATCATTATACATAAGCAGCTCCACACTGGTGACAATGTACCGCCATCACATGTGGGAGTCGCATCTTATGTAATTTGATTTTGAACTAATTTGTCAAAGTATTGTTAATTCTTCGGAAATTTAATAAATAATTATCATTTTTCTTGTAGGTAGAATTTTTTTACGGGCAATGACCTATTCACAAGGCATTAGATCTCTATAGGTAGGTTTAAATCCGTATCTTAAGAGATAGTATTCTATAACAAGATCGCGAGAGCTGTGGCGGCTTTTAGGAGAAAACGAAGCTCGGTCGGGCGAAGCCTTCGTGATGTCCTCGTCTACGGTGGGTGCTTTATTCCTTACTTTGTGTACTTCAAAAAACTGAAGTTTGGTACAGAACTCGGAGGCACCTCTTGGTAACACGTTTCACATTGATGTATAGTTTGGTAGATATTATTATTAGGATTATTAAGGGCGTATTAAGGCTTATCCCTGGTTAGTTTCCCAATTACCGAACTCCCAATTGCTCGAAGCAAACATTCGATTCTGCATATGCGTTCTTGGCTTTAGAATCTATGCAAAACGTGTGGCGCAGAAGTGCGCACGATCGTTCCAAGAAAGCCACACGGAATTTCGGTGAAAAATATCTGCCATTGGATGCTTCGCTTTTTAAGGTAGCTCGTATTATTTGTATGTTATCTTTGTGAATACATAGGTTTATGAAAGGCTATCTTCGTAAGCATTTTTGATTTAGTTGTACTATTTATAGGGTGTATACCTAGGCTTGTGACTTCAAACACGTTCCTGCGTAGTTTATTCAGAAAAGAAGTTCCCACATTTTCAAACATCTATATGGGTATCATTGAAATTTGGCAATAATTTACTGGTGGGAATTAGGCTTTATTACTGATATATGCACGGGCGCATAAAATCGGTTAGCATTCTTCCTTCGATACGACCCGGGTACACGTCTGCAACTCAACCGGTTAGGAAACTGAGTTTAACCTTTAAAAAAACCTGTTCATTAGTTTCACACAAATTGCTGCTATACTTGTTTCTTTTCAATTCAGTTATATTAGTAATCACCTCGGACTTATTCATAATTAACGGTGACTTCAGTTTTTGTTTAGAGTGCGGACACATTGTGCCTGTGTCGTTTTGGCATCTGAATTAAGTATGTGATTATCTTCAGGGTCCGGTCCCGAAGCGGTATGTGTCTGAAGAAACTGTGACAACGACACATAAAGACACAATTACGATTGAGGTTAACGATCAGGATGATCTTAAAGCGATTGCTAAGAAACTGATTCAAATTGAGGATGGTCAGCCAGTCCTCAACCTTCCTCAGTACCGAAGGACAAGTTTTTCTGATACGTCTAATCGGCCTCGGCGCGCGGATCGAGGTGGATCACCACGCATCAGCCATGGAAGACAAAGAGGTGGTAAAGGAAGGTCAAATAAGTACGATACCGACTATGATGACACTGGCGATCAATCAGATACACGCCAAACTTCACAAACTTCTCGTTGGTCGAAACCTACTGATGTGGATAGTAGTTCACGCCCACGACGTAGCAGACATAATTCAAACCGGCGGAAACGTTTAGATAAACGTCGAGGAGGGTCAAAAGATTCTTCCCGGAGGCCAGTAAGAGGAAGTAATTATTCTCGAAAAAAGGTTAGGCGACGCCCATCCAGAAGACAATATAAAGCAAAACGAAGGCCCCGAGCTCACGGAGGCCATACTGGAAGCGAATCCTCAACTGCTGAAGGTGGTAGCAGAAGGGGTTGGCGGAAGTGTATGAAGCCTATGAGCAACTTTTTTAGTAGTATTCGTGGATCACATTCCGGTCCTCGATCAAGGGATGAGTTGTTGGCAGGCGGTAAAGATGACAAAAAAAAGTCGAAAATGACGAAAAAGGGTGGGCCGAAAGACGATAAATCAAAAGCACCAGGTAAATCAAAAGCACCAGGTAAATCAAAAGCACCAGGTAAATCAAAAGCACCAGGTAAATCAAAAGCACCAGGTAAATCAAAAGCACCAGGTAAATCAAAAGCACCAGGTAAATCAAAAGCACCAGGTAAATCAAAAGCACCAGGTAAATCAAAAGCACCAGGTAAATCAAAAGCACCAGGTAAATCAAAAGCACCAGAAAAATCAAAAGCACCAGGTAAATCAAAAGCACCAGGTAAATCAAAAGCTACGACAACGAAGTCAAAAGCGCCCAAGAGTAAGGCTGCGAAAACCAAGGCTGGTAAGACAGTTAAGGAGGCCGCTAAGACGAAAAAAAGCGAAGTTCAAAAGGCCTTCAAGAAACCTAAACGAAAGGAAAAAGAAGGCGCCACGAAAGTGGAGCAGAAAACTGATAAGATCGGTGGCAAATCGAAGGCCACGACCAGGAAAGGGGCAGAATCACCCGCCTCGAAAATTGATAAGAAAAAAGGAAAAACTGACAAACAAAAGATTGCTGCTCGGATTGCAACAGCAATGCCAATGGAAAGAAAGTCTTTGTCAGCCATTACGGCTGAAGCCGCTAAGGCCGATGCCGCAGCGGAAGAAGCGGCCAAGGCTGGTGCGAAGCCTGCTGCTGCACCGCCTCCACCGCCCACCGCGGAAACACCTCCAGTATCGCCTCCAGTATCGCCTCCAGTCGAGGCCAAGGTATTATCTAAGAAAGAAGAGCGAAGGTCCGAAGAACCAGAAAAGGTATCGGAGCGAAGATCCGACCGTAAACCGGAAAAAAAGACATCGGAACGATTATCCGACAGAAAAGCCGAGGGCCGAAAATCAGATAGAGTAGAAATAAAGGAAAAGGAAAAGGAAAAGGAAAAAGAAAAGGAAAAGGAAAAGGAGAAGGAGAAGGAGAAGGAAAAAGAGGAAGAGGTGGCGCCACCAGCACCACCATTACCCGAACCCGAGAAAGAAAAGGAAAAAGAGGAGCCTCGAGAAATTCGAGAGCCTCGGAAGCCTGTAAGCAGACCTCCTGCACTGCCTGCAGAACCATCTGTGCCGCCGCCGCCGCCATCGGAGGCTGATCAGCAGGCGTTAGTTCCGCCTAGCGAAGTAAGGTTCCCTGAGTCTGAGTCGGCCGCAGAGGTAAGTCCGCCGGTCAGTGCTGAAGCTACGGAGCGTGCGTCCACGTCTATCTCCGAAGAGCCATCATCGTCTCCATCTGAAGAAAAAAGACAGAGTGTTGGTGAACTTGTTCCTGTTGAAATCGGAGGTGACCTTGACCGACTGCCTGATTCACTGGAAGTGGAGCGGGAGAAAGAAAAAGAACAGGAAAGAGAGCGGGAACTGGAAAAAGAAAAAGAACGCGAAAGGCAAAAAGAAAAGGAACGTGAGCGTGAGAAGGAAAGGGAAAAAGAGAAGGAACGCGAGAAAGAGCGCGCCCGCGAAAAGCGAAAAGAGCGCGAGGACGAGACAGCAGAAAAATCCGAGGATGAATCGGAAGCGGCGGCTCGTACACCGCCGTCGCCTCCTCAACCGTCTTCGCCCGCGACGGCAACTGTATCGGCGACTGTGACTGCGACTGCGACTACAACTACAACTACAACCGAGGAGGAACAGCCTGAACCGTCACCAGTGGAAGGGGAGGCCATTCAAGCCCAGAATCTTCAGAATTTACCGCTTCTCGATGTTCACCATGACCAAGATCCTTATGCTCAACAAACGGTATATTCACCCGTTGTCAGTAGCGAAGCCGTCGTATGCGGACGGTGCTGTGGTTTTAACTACAAGGACGCCTTCATCATAATTCTGCTGATCATAAATATGTTTGCTTTCTTTGTCTGGTTCAGCAGTATACGCAAATATTTTCCTAGCGAGCAAGATCTCAAACAACGGTTCGGAAGGTAAAAAGGCTGCGGTAACGGAGAAATTTCTAAAGACAAGAACGGACACAACGAAGAGCGGGCATTTTGATTGAAAAGGATGTGGATACTAAACGATACTAAACGTTTCCAAATGATTAAATCATCATTCAAAATGATGATATCATATGGGATTTGTTTTCATTTGTAGAATTTTTAGTCTTGCTTTGTTTATAAAAAAAAAGCGTAATCGGGCACGATAAGGTGTATGTAACATGCGTCGCCTACTGGATATTAATAGAAAACTATTACAACACAACTAAAAAATAGTTTTATATATATATATATATATAAAATATATATATATATATATATAAAATTTTTTTTTTTATATATATATATATATATTACATGTAACATATATAATAATAAATGTAACTACTTATAATTTCAGGTTTTCAGAACATGAATTACATAAATATTATAGTATTTGTTATGTAGGCAATTAGCCTATTTATTGCCATTTATTTACTCAGTTGAGGTGGCATACGCAGGTTAAAACCTGTCACGCAACCTTTAAGCTTTGCGTAACGTACTCGCATGCGTGAAATTGTATATACTAACAACGCAGAAATCTAAACATTGAATTTCGTAGATATTCCTGGTTCAGCTCAATGTTTGTCATTCTTCTGTGCAATTAAAATTAGGCGAGTCCACGAGACGTTGGTTTCCGATATATTGCAGCAGTATTCTCAGTTGCGGGATGTCAATGCGAATTGGTAGATTCCGACATTGTTTCATAAAATTGAATAAGATGCAGACCGTAATTTTCCAACAGAAGCGTGTGTTCATATTAATCCGAATAAGCACTCAAGCTCCGGCGACAGTTGGTATAATACTACTCTTCCAACCGCTTGTCCGAGGAACCGTTCCTCGATAAGAAGCACAATACGTTTACGTGAACTGCCCAACAGCAAAAGTAGGCTTGTCTCGCTATTCATGTTATCTTAAGTGCTAGCGACCTATAACGATAACTCACTTTTTATAGAAATGGCTGAATGGGAAAGGGAAACCTGTTCCGACACGCTGTAAATCTCGTTCCGTCCTGGGAAGGGGCAATACTTGTATCCTTTGCGAGTGACGGACGAGACCCAGCGCCTGCCTAACCATGACGGACTACAAGAAAATCAACCCACCCAGCCGTAGCTCGGACATACAATTGATTTGAATTCGACAAAATTTTCTTACACTATAAGGCGGCCTGTGGATTTGTAGCTTTTGTAATTTCGAAATGTCTTCTGGATCTGAAAGTCGAATCGATTTTTGTAGGTGCAGAAGCCCTGCAGATGTAGCGTGTTCTGGACGTCTTTTTCGATTCCGGCAACTACGTATTTGAACATCTCAGAGTTTTTCTTCATGTGGTCGAATTCCTCGTCTGTATAATTGTTAACCGTGAAGCACCAACGGCAGCTAGATGGGTGGTAATGGTTAGGCAGGCGTTGGATCTTATCCGTAACTCGCGAAGGCTAGAAGTACTACCCCTTCGCGAGAGGGGACTAGACTTATAGCATGTCTGATTGCGCTTTCCCATTGAGCCATTTCTATAAAAGCGGATTAACTCTTCAAGGGGCTAGCCCTTAAGATAACATGAGTAGTAACGCCATTCCCCTTTTACCGTTGGGCAGTTCACAAAAGCGTATTGCACCGAGTGCCTCTTATCGAAAAAAGTTGCCCGGACAAGCGGTTGGAAGACTGGTATTGTCTCCGGAGCTATTAGTGCTTATTTATCGCATCTTGGTCCTTATTATTATCAGTCAAGTGTTCATCGGTACCAGACAGAGGCACTTAATCAAAGGATGGCTATACGTAGGAGTAGTACTCGTGCTATCACTAAGACTAAACGTAGCAGGCGATGCCATCTATAGCATCGGCGCAAGAGCTTTAAGAGATTTTATAAAAGGCGTATTTACGTGACCTTGACACAAGTGACATGTGGCAATACAGAGTTGCCTAGGAAAGGAGGTAAAGGTCTCTATTTTTGGGTTTTGGCAGATACCTCTAGTTTATCTAAATATTCGCCATTTTTCCGAAAATTATGCGAGTGAAGATGACGTTGGTCCCCGATATATTCTCCCGATATAGCATTCTGAGTTGCAAGATGTCAAGGCTAATTGGCAGATTCCGATATTGTTTGATAAAACTGAGAAAGATGCAGACCGTAATTTTCAACAGAAAAAGCATGCGTTCATATGGATTTGAAACCAAAGGATCCCTTTAAGGTTCATTATTATCTGTTTGTATCTCAGATGCGAAGTATTTCTGGACTAGGAGATATGTTTAAAGGAAATGGGTTGGATATAAAGCAGCAGTTAAATTATGATTTTTATGTTTTATGGTTTATATTGTTGTATATATATATGATATAGGAATGCTTGAAACCGTTGGAGGTGCCCAAATTTTGTTTTCTTCTATATCTGATGATATGAAGAGTAGATTGGGAGCTACATGTATAAAATTGAAATATTCTCTTGTAATTTGGGTTACCTTCACTCTCGTGAAGTAAAAGTATTTTGGTTGCATACGAATTGCTTTTATTTCCTCTTCTAATTCTGCAATGTTATCGCATTCATACCTAAAAACATTAAGTAAAGCAGGTTCAGTATTGTAATAAAAATATATTCTGCGTTTACGTGGTGAGAGGTGTCGCACCCAAGGAATTTATACTAAAGTGCGTAATCAATATTGCTAGTCATAAAAATATATTTGGGAGTGAAGGCTCTGTTGACACTCCTTTGTATTGGACTTGGTAGGGATATTTTTATATATTCTAGGCAACTCATCCCATTTAATCCAACCATAGAAGTTGTTGATAACCACGCCGGCCTATTGGTGGTAATTTTACTTCAACGTTCGCCTACAGGCAATGTTATCTTCAAATGAAACCCGGCCAATGGCATCTACAGATGCAGGGTCCCGCACTGGCATCTATCCTGCATCTTCAGATACGCTGACATATAACAAAATTTCGTACTAGGAAACACCGTCGCTCAATAGGCCTTTACTTCGATTTATAAGATTTCGATGATATCGATAATCGTAGTGCACTTCAAAAGATTCATGGCCAGGCTCCCATTCGTGATAGTATGTGAAAGTGAGCGAAAGTATAGAAGCTATGGCGGAACAATGTCAAACGTGTGAAGATTGCACTTCGCTTGACTTCAATCGACACTGCAATTTTTTTGAAATGATGTGTTGAAGAAGGGGACGACAACATAGTGTTTATGTCACACAGCGCGTATACTTTGAAAAGTACACTGCTTTCGACCGCAAGCAATGTACTTCGTTTTGAAGAAGAACGCAGGAATTTTTTTTTCTCTGTGAAGATTTTAATTGCAATTGCAACATTTTTGTTTTCTTAGAAATTCTTTTATGATCATGACTTTAGTTTACGCGGTCTTTGTACTTGGACTACCTTTATAGCACCTTCGTATTGGACAGTCTGATTCCACTAAGCTATTGCAAGCGAATCCGATGGGTCTATTGTCTAACAAGTTTTTTTTCATTTTATTTATTAATTCAAGTCTTATATTGAATTTTCAGTAATATTTTTATTGATATATTTTCGATCTTGTCCTGTTGAAGAGCCTTATGTACTTTTAAGTCAAGTATTGACATTTTAATTATTTTGCTTCCTTTTTATTTCGTCCTTGAGTTTCGCAGACTAGATCGAAAAAAAAAGAAGATTAAAAACAATAGTCGGAAAAAATTCTGCAAGGAAGAATAATTTTCCAAACTAGTATTGGAACTAGATCATAACGATAGCGAATGAGTGTTCTTCAACAACAGCGCTGCGGAAATTCATCGAAAATTCATATAGACATTGGATGGCAAGAAGACCGTAAACGAACGTGCGTTAGGTGAATAGTGCGAATAATGCAAAAAAAATAACGTCGAAGACCGGTAAAAAGATAACCTGATGTCGGGACGTCAAGGACAACAGCGCACTGCCGCAATCGGAAAGGACCCTCTCGAAGACAGAACTTGGGGTCTAAAGGCCAAAAGCAGAATTTCACATATGTGTTATAGAATTATCACTCGAATTCTGAAAATGCGATAACCGAGTAAAAAATGGGTTTCCCGGGAATTGACTTTAGGAAACCTGCAAACGCGTGTGATATGTTCCTCGTACGATCTGCAGAACTTGATTCAACAAAAAATACGCCCGGCACATACGATTGCTATGATGCAATCTTTACCGCTAGCTCGAAAGGGATAAAATGTAAATATGACATCGCTTTGGAAAGGGGAAACAGATCTAGGTAGCAGTATCGGATATATTTGGCCGCAGGATGATGATAGCATTCGCAACAGATATCAGGGGCGTCTGCTAGCATGAAATATGCTAGAATAGGAACAGTTAATGTAGCTTGCTACTTTGAGTTCCTCAAGAGATTTACAGACCGTTGGTACGGCAATCGGAAGCACGTAGTTTGACTTATCGATGGCAACACAGCATCTCATCGGTGAGCCTCAGTTTCTTACTGCATCGGGCAAAGAAATATCAACGCTGGCTTTAGCCTGCCCTTTCTTTCGATCTAAGTCGGAGTGAATGCGAGGCTTTTGATGTTCTAAAAAGACAACATGTGACAAGCAAACCTCTCCTGATGTTATTATGGTCAGTAGCTATCGAATCAATATAGGGAGTAATAACATGCGAATGATGACTATGTTAGTGAAACTTAATGAATTAAAAAATAAATCAATAGCCGAAATATGCCGAACATTATCAATTGTCTTGTCTATCTAGCTACCCGCCCAATTACGAAAACACGACACTGAAGTATAGTCTCGCAAACATTTCTTGGTATGTAAATACTGCTTCTTTAGATAATTTATGTCTAAAAAAATAAAAGAGAAGGAAGTTTATCGAAGGGACTCAATTTATTATACATGCGAGTAATTCGACAAGATTAAATAAGAGGTTAGCTAGAAATCAAACCGAATATTCCAGGGTTTGATAGGTGGCTAAAGAAAATGCAGTGGCTGATATGTTTCATGGTTACGTTGGGAGTCTCCTTTTTAAATTTTGCGCATTTGCGGAAGAACATTCTTGCCGTTAGTTGATTCCTATTCCAGTTTTACTGTGTTCCATCGAGGTGATGTAAACGCATAGTATTTTCAGTTCGCACCTTCGCTTATGAATGCAGAAGATGATCTTCACTCCGTTTAATATTCAGATACTTATATAGTTAAGTGCATATCCTATTTTAATATTGGTATTTTATTTTTTTTTTTAAATATACATGTAATGTACGAAAAGCAACCCATATATACGCTATTGGTGAATCTTGTTGATTGTTAGTTAACTCGTGGCTGCGAAACGAGATTTCCGTTCGTCTTTACTCTGTCTCATCGTTAAGTGGGTACGTCGAATATGCTTATATATATTTATCTAAATGCCAAGAGCCATATACGTGATATAGGATAAAATAGCTAGATATCCTGCGTGGATTTGAGTTTCAAATCAGAGTAGAATATGCAGATAGGTAAGGTAACGAATGTGCATGAAAAGTGTACTCATGAGTCCTTTTTTGCTTTTACCTAACCCAGAGTAAACCTAATCAAAGTGTAGCCAACAAATCGTCGAGGCTACCCGAATAACGTGATGTATTTGGCGTTTTAAGTTTTTTTTTCTTTATTCGGGTATGTTATCTATATCGTTCCTCACATAAACTCGTATTATTAGCACGATACCATACGTGCTCCTAGTATTGTCCTCATAAGCTAAACAAAACTTTTCTATACAACCGTTAAGAAATCACAGTTTATCAAGATTCAAAATTCAAGAAAAAATCAAGCTTTTGTACAAATAATCTCTTTATTTACGTGAAATGAGCCTATAGGACAAGTTTTGTCAAGGCAACCCTGACTATCTAATCTAAAAAGAATATTACGATAGTTCTTATAAAATTTGCCAACAAAAATTCTATGGGGCTACACTTTTTTGAAACTATCGAATTTTGCTTAATTATCTCTTTCTCATAGTAAAATACCCATAAACATTTTCTTAATTGTACTTGACGGAAAGAAAGGTTTCGCAAGTCCTACGCGCATTTTCGAACCAAAATGAGTCACTTAGCGTACGATTACATCGGACAAATATATATATTAGTTGGTGCATTTAAATTCGGACACATTTTAGCCGACTACTTCGTTGTTGCGCAGATGCGTTTATCCGCTGAATTGGATACTTTTTCAAGATGACCAGTTTTTTTTTTGTCCAAAACCAAAGACGCTTATCATGGCGGAATACGGTGCGCCGTTTTTTGCAATTTAAGCCAAGAACAACCATTGTCCAATCGCTTCCGCCGAAACCAATCGCGACCAGGACTCAAAGCTTCTTTGCTCGAAATTGAAGATCCACGTTGTTCTTAGCTTCCATAGGGCTATAAAAAATCCAGCAAAGATTTTCATGAGCCAAACTGGGAGATCCTCGATGGAGTTTAAAAAAAGAACTTAAAAATTCATCTAAATAAACGAAAGGGCCGTTCCTAACATACTTGGATCGTTATATAAAATTGACGACCATTTTAGAGGAGAGAATATGAACTGTCAATGAAATCATTTAGGTTATCTTCGTCGTTAGGCTTCCTGCAAATGTTTGCGTATTTTTGCATCTTACATTGTTGCTAATTGTTTTAAGCCCTCGGATTTTTAGGTTTTTGCTCTACTATTAGACCGGAGTTTGGCAATTTTATGTAGTGTGTTTGGATGATACGTTAATGAGTTCACACCCAAATATCACTCACCTCACGCTTACTTTTAGAAGGCTACCTTCAGATTAATGAAAGGATATCTTGATAAAAACTGGTTGAGGTCGCGAATTAAAGCTTTAGCTGCGACGAATATTTGTTACATTGAATGAGTACAACTGTCAGTTACGGAATTTCTAGTACGTGAAACAAATTTTTAAGAAATATGCATTATTGCTTAGAGAGGGTTACGTAAGCAACGTACAAAAAACATCGATCTAACTTTTCTATACAAACGCATTAGTCCGATGTTAAGTTCAATCCGCATTAGTCACTGGTACTAATTTTCAGCTAATGACGGCTGATTTTCTAGCAAAGTACCCTTTTTGATCGATGGGTTTTAAAGATTGCTACAAACGCAACCGTTTAAGTGCTTTGTAAGTACTAGCCACGATTAATGTGTAATCGTCCCAGCCGACGTTATTGCGTACTTGGGTAAGAAGGGGCGTTACCTATACGATGTGCCTACTATCTAGATAGAACGCGTCCTCCGCTGTATTCTGAATAATATTATAGAAAACTAAATGGATAAGATGTTTTCAAGCTTTTTTGGCAAGGGCTCAAAGAAGTCTATGTGGACACCTGTGACTCTTCAGCGAACTTCCTAAGCAATTTTCTAATTCGTGTCGCAAATAACGTATCGTTCGTCAGAGTTGGAGAAACGCTCTTTGAATGCTAATGTCGACAGGACAATCGAAAGAAACGAAAAAACGAAGCGTGTTTCGGGGAGGTCTACGTAAATCATAAGCCGTCTCCATGCAAGCAAAGGATTCCCCGCCGCAGGACATTGCACTTGAGCAAGACGCCTATCAACAGGAGAGTGCCTACTCACCCTTATCATTGCCAGATGTGGATATCGTGTGTTCCCGGTGCTGTGGCTTCAGCTACAAGGATGGATTAATTCTAGGAATGCTATTTTTCAATTTAATCATGTTCATAATCTGGTATAATAGCATACGGAAGTACTTCCCTACCGAGAGAGACCTAAGTAGAAAGTTTGGGTTTTTGAGATGAGCGCGACGGGAACGAGTCAAAATTGTCGAACGAACACGAGAGCTACGAGGCGGTTATCCTGATGAAGTGCGACATACAGAAAACCATATTTGTCTGAAGATTCAAAATAACTTGCCATCTTCACGATGGCAACGTCACGGTTCAACTGGTGTGTTTCTCATTAGTGATGCTGCTTCCATATCTTTTGTATTGACTGGCTTGCCTAATTGTTGTAAATCCTGCATTTTGCTTATATAGATAAAAATACTGGACGTTTGCGCATGCAGATGCTCATTCCAAGACCTACTAGTAAATGGTAGTTTTTGGTCAACTTGTTAGTTTTCAACAGTTGTCAATGTCAGGAGCTGACGTAGCTTTACGTCAACCGATATGCATAGCAAACATCTTTGTGACGATGTTGCTTAACGAAGCTGGCTACGTTACGGTCCGCTACTAATACAAATGTATACATCTAGGATATATAATAGGCCTATCTCAACGTTGTACGTCAACTGTCCATAGTTGAAGTGATCTTTGGGAAAAATTTGATCCTTTCATGAGGACACTCACAGAAAATCCGATGTAATTGAACGTCAGACTTTTTCGAATCGAACAATATTTTCTCTAAGCTGTAGTGTTATATCTGTCCTATTGCTGGCACATAGCCTTGCTGATTCTGTCACGGGCATTATCCGAAAATGACTGCTTTTTTTTTCTCGATGGGCAGGATTATTTATGTGAACAGTGTTCACCAAACATGTACAGACAAGTTGTGTCGAAGGTTAGATCATAAGACGAGCCTATTTTATAACGATACTTTATTTTGCGACACTTATTTGTATTTGAGATGTGCTCTGTCTGGGACCGTCCACTCGAATGTTGTTACTCGTAGTTCTACCGGGGGAGCCGTGATAGTTTACTAACTGCTTAAATCTTCGGACTCCTGCCTTGACATGGGGAAGATCCCTGCGAAGGTGAGCAACAAAGAGCAGTATAAAACAGATCCTTATTACTATGGTTGGATGTTAGCATTCAGATTCGCTGTGTGCAGAAACGCAAAGTTTATTCATCGCGGTCAAAATAAATTTGCTAAAATGAGTTCGACGAACAGGTGCCGAGTGATTTGAAGGCGGGTCAAGAGCAGATGTGAGAATTATCCATTGTTTTGGTTGGTCGTTAGAACAGTGGGCAATCCTTTCATCGAAATGTAACTTGCGATTCGAGGAAATACCCCACGGTGGTCACATACGGCGTTACCAGTGGCTGGATGCAATCAGATAAGTTGTGCGTAACCCCAAAGGAAATGTACAGCTGCAAAAACAATAGTCTAGTCCATGTTAGTTATCAGTTATGGCTGAAGTGTGTTGTCGATCGCACAACAGCGCTCCATCGATAGGAAGGGTCACGGTGACAAAATGTCGATATTACGGTCAACCATACTCGATGGACGATGCTTCGAAGTTCTGGAAAACTAGTAAATTTCAATGTGATGCTGAAAGGAATTGCCTTTGAAGAGTTTAGACTTAGCAGTATCTCGAAATTATACAAGAACCGCATTCGTAAGCCACCATACAACAGGTCATAAATATTGGTTAGCATATTTCGGTTGAAAGGATCTAATTTGACATACTGGCAGGCCTCATTATAGCAGTGTCCCATATTTGCGTTAATTATGAGGCATGTTCGTATGCACCGGTTCATTAATCCAGAAATTCGATTTAATGTACGAGCTTTAACATTGGCCGACTAAAATTACGGAATCCATATCTCAGCTCGTAGCATTGGGAGACGTCAAATGGCGTCCCATATTTTTTCTATTCTGTAACATTTGGAGACATCTTAGGTAATGTGGTATACATGAATACCTTTATATGCTTATAAAACGATCATAGTCACTAAGTGTAGAAATTTCAACAAGTGCCTTCATTTCGTATGCGTTTTCCCCTAGTAAAATAACTGTCGTAGTTGACGCAGAATCGAAGAGCGCTGGCTTGCTTCTATATAAACTTGTGCATCTTACATTAGAGCTACACTCTAAGCGGCAAAAAGCTGTGGGAGATACTGCCTCGGAGCGAACTGCGTGAAATACGAAATGATGATCCAGAGCTATATGGCGGCTGTAATTTTGTGGCCGTAACAGAGTGCAAAAGGGATTACATCGGGACTTGTAATGCTCTTTAGCAATGTCTCTATTGTACCGGTATATTGAATTAATGGCTAGAGAACAATATAAGACTTATCTTGCCATTTGTATGGTAGTCGATGTCGATAAAGGAAGACTGATTTGACTATCGCCATTCGCAGACGGTATGTTGGCAATGATCTTGGACATAGTATCGTTGCCGGAGGTACTTGACACATGTGGCAATGTTTTAACTTCTTAGTGAAATATCGAGGAATAAGGTCAAGCACAAAACGTTACCGGGCCAGTAGCCGTTCAACTTTAAATTGCCTCCTCCAAAATGAAAAATGACAAATTCTGCTTCGAAATAGACAGCTTCTGTCCAGAGTTTGTACTCGAAGGAGCTGTTCCGGGATACACAAACTAACAAAAGGCAAACTAAATAGTTCAGCCTTTTTTGACGTCTCGAATATAATGTTAGGTGGGATTGATATCAATGTTATCTTTGAAACGATCTTTTTCAAAGCAACAATTATTTCGATACTGTAAAAGTGCCGCCCTTGTGTTTGCTTTCTACGACTTCATATTGTACTAAGGCCCCTGTGTTGGAAAACACTTACGTTACCAAGTGCCATCAGGCTTATACAGACCAAATTTTTTTCACCTAACAGGGTATTTAGCATTACTTTTATAATTCCTAGGACCCTATGATATACGTTTTTAGTGCGTTGGAGTTTCGTCTCACACAGCTTTGCAAAATTACCAAACATCTCATATAACAAAAAATATTAAGGATATCTTTTAGATTTCACAAAATACAACTTTTTGAACTCTTCGAACATTGTTCATTATGGCTGCTTACAAGCAGTAACAGAATTCGCGTTCTGGCAGAATGATCAAGTTGAAAAATTACGTGTTTTGGTGCAACATCTTGTCAGATGGTTCCACTGTTCCTTCAGCTGGTATACGGTGTCTGTCTGTAGGTGTCTTCCGGTTAGCATAACTTATCACTTCCGTCGAGAAGTGGTTTTTCTTTGATTTTCTCTAGAAACAACTTTCCGCAAATCGACAAAGTCTTCATCGAAGCTCCGCTAGCGGCCCGAAGGGCTATGAGTCATTGCTGGTGTGCGTGGATGTGCGTGTGTGTGTGTGTGGAACAAAGAACAAAGTGGCTAGAAAAAATGATCGTCCCACTAGCCGATCAGAGCAAATTCCTTAAATCGTTAAAAGCTTCAGTCTTCGAAATGTTCGTTCTTCCTGTTTCTCGCAGTCCATAGGCATGTGTCGAAAACGTCCAGCCAAAACAGACATTTATCATTTTTACATGCTCCTCTGTTGGTGCAACTGTTGCACCAACAGAGGAGCATGTAAGCACCAACTGGTTGGTGATGATTTGACTGCAATAGGTCGGATCCTCATTTTTAAAGAAATTCATTCTCACCACCCCTCCTGCAATAGAAATCCAAACCGGTGACAGTACTAGCTTATAGATACGGCGCTTTGGATTAATAGGGCGGAAAGGGAATCAACAATAGGTAACCGTGAGCGAAGTAATGTTTCCAAGTTTTTAGAAGTTATAGTAAACGGGTGCACAATACAGTCAGTTAGTAAAACTGTAACGCCGGGTTGTAAGAGCATAGCTAACGTCCCAAGTATGTATGTTAAACACAATCGGAAATTGAATACTGATCCATAGCGAACTGGGAAATCGATTGTCTAACGTACAAACTACTGGTAAGAGCGTCCCCGCGCTTCATATGTTGAAACTACTTACAGTGGTTAAGAAGGTCCATCTTCTGATCTGCGGCGACTTCCCCTATAAGGTTCTACTTCCATGCTAGTCACATCACAGACAAACCATTTGGATGGTACGAGCATATGGCTAACCCGTGGCCTGCGCTGAAGGAGGCACAACTTTTTCGTCATTGTTCTTGAGTAAATTAGAAATGTGACAGTATAATTCGTTCAACTGCACACGAGCTCGATTATAGAAAGGCACTGCTATGGAAATTTCCAGTTCGTTCATGTTAAACCATCAATGTGATAGTTTTTTTCACAAAAAAAGTTTTCCGTCGCATAGGCGGCATTCTGCTTGCATTCCTATTACCTGTAAGGCTCTACAAACAAACGCTTATTGTTATGAAAAATAAACTATTATCTAAAAGTGAAGTTCTAGTTGCAATCGTAATCTGTCCAATTTGCATAGAGACGAAGCTGGTCAGAATATCCGTCGTAATCAGAAAGACGAAATTTCCTGTCACGTTTGACTAATCTGTCATGCTTCGTTAAGCTGATGGCTGGCTATTGGAAGCATCATTTGTACCCCCCGTGTCCTGTCGCCTCAGCCACAACAACAAACGGGCGATATAGTCCAATCAACCAAGCATATCGCTAGAATACATGTCACGTTGAGAATCTAGGTAAAGTACCTTAATTACGAATTTAACTGTGACCTTGCAGAGGAACTCTCTCCTGAACTAATTATTACTGCATAATGTGTAAGGTATGCTAGCAAGCATTCTAAAAGAAACCTTAATTGGTGCCTACCTAGCTATTACTTCTTGATATTATTTTTACATACTCACAAAGAGTCTCTGCTTCAGAAGATTCTTTTGCTTTACATAATACGCCGTAATTTAATCCTAGACCCTTGTGGTACCTACCGGCCAAGAAAATTGACTTTGGTTACTTTTGTGCAACTTGGTTTTGGTGGATATTAGTTGTAACTTCAACAACTCTTTAAAAAGGCCAGCGTCCGAAGTTCGTTGGCCAACGGCTACATTAACTCCCATAATTTACTATATATGTAGTCGCGGCATAAAGAAACGCACTTCTGTCTCTCACAGTTTTGCATAGTTCACAATCCTTGACGGATTGTGAAAACAAAGCGTTTAAAAGTTGTACTTACTAAAAAGATCTCTATATTTTATTCGGTGTCACCAGTCAATTAACTATATGACTTGCTACCATTTTTTGCTATCACGACCACGTGCTTCAAGCGGTGGGTTAAATCTATAGCAAAGAGAGTAGACGGCGGTCTTGGTCAGTCCTGGTTAATCAAGGAAAGTAGAAATTGGGTGTACAAGAGAGAAGCTTAGAGAGAACGTTGATGTCACCGTTTTGGGCTTAGCTAAAAATTTCAGCTTGTCACGCTAGAACTATAACTGACCTACGATGCAAGGCTTAGCCTTTACAATAGAAAAGTGCGAGCTGTTCGCTTCAACAACCATATAAAACGTGACTCACAGTGTGGACATTCTAGAACAAGCTAGAAAATCAATAAAAACAAATCTAATTTTAGAGTCATGTTCAGTATTAAAGTATACCGATTTATATGTATCCATTTCCTAGCTATGCTTTGTAAATATGAAAGCAAATAGTAGTACATGGAGGAGCCGACCCGCAAAGTGGACCGTATTTGTCGATTTCAATAGCCGCTGGATATCACGTAGATTTTTAACACTAAAATCCTATTTCTACTATAAGAAGCGGTTTTAAGCGGTCCACTTCGAGTATCGTTCCACATTTTTACTATTTCGCGCTTTTCTATAAAAACGAAAAATTTTATTCTCAAAATTTTGATAGTTAAACCATTTTGTTAGCAAGATAGTTAAACAATTTTTATGTCTAAGCATTACGTTACAATGAGCCCTTAAAGGCAAGCTGAAAAACTTAAGCAAGAGTAAATGTAACATGTCTAACGCTTCTGAATCCGAGATGCATGTCTAAAGCAAAGATGCATTTTTTAAGCTTTTTTTGTTTCACAACATAAAGTTCCTATAAGTCTATTTCAAAGTATCAGTATCATTTCAAAGTACAAATTCGCCGTATTACCTTTTTTTTTTACCGAAAATTACGTAGTGTTCATTTTGGTGGACGTCCACCCTGTTTTCCCTTTCGTTCTTAAAATAGATAGATACTAAAGGTTTCCCTTTATTAACTCTCTTGCTTTGCCATTTTTGCGACGTTACTCCTTGTCCTAGATTTCGGCTTGATGTTCTTGATTGATGACAATAGGGTTGCATACCCCGCAAGGTTTTTGAACTCCTTTAATTACCACGCTCTCTGAGCATTTTTCACAAAAAAAAATCGAGAAAGAAAAAATATGAAGAGATACTATACTCCTTAGGCAAATATTATTAATGGTTTTTAGATCTTAAACAAATCTTCTCAGTTTAAGCCACATAAAACATACTCCCGTGTATCCGCAGACTTGGCGATGCGTCGGGCCTGATCATATGTCCGACCCAATTTGCCGTTGACGGTAATTCGGTAAAATTTGACAAACAAATCACTAGATATTATTGTTAGAGTTGTTTCTGGCCGCCCAATCTTTTTAACAAACAACTTTTCTTTAGGTGGGCTTCCTTATTTGTACCATCTCTGGCAATTTTGCAAGGGGTGTATCAGATGTTGGTACTAACGGCTCGAGATAGCACGAACGCTTAACCCAGCGCCAACGTTGAACAGAATGAAATTCCGCTGGTTTTTCTTGTGCAGTGACGGCACGCGTAAAGCGGAAGAAGCTCTCGGTCTGGACGAACTATAGGCGAAAAAAGGCCGAGGGCGACAGTGAAAAACTGACCGAAGGATGACAATGCGTGCGCTGTTGCTTTTGCGCCGATTCGACTGGCTACCCTTCATTTGCCGTTAGTTGAAAATAAAAATCGCAAAGCCGTTGACGTGGCTGTGTCTTTACTGCTGTCGCCATCCGTGTTCTATCGTATCCTGTCTACGTGCTGTAGTGTCGTTCCTACTACAAACAAATGCCTTTTCAAATGCCTTCACCGCTCATGAAAGCTTTCCCCATGGAATGTCCGACGTTACAAGCATCCCTTCGCAGCTTCTTCCCATGTCGTCTCTCTTCTGTAGTGCGGCGCATTTCTGCTCCTTTCTGTCGGAGTTGCGTTATTGAAACTGTTGTTACAACAGTTTCAACGCTGTTGCGCACCGCTGTTGTTCATTTGTTCGGTCGTTGTTGTATTTCGGCGAAAAACCAGGAGGAATTCCCTAATGCAATTGTTCCATATTGGAGAACCTCAAGGAGGACTAGTAAACGTTGCTACGACGTCGGATGGCTACCAGCTCGTCTTTATATCGGTGCTCAATAGCTAAAGGAATCCATCATTTGCTAGTTCAAAACTTCTGCCGGTTAGTAGTAGGAGTAGTAGTTGCAGTGCTGCGATGTTTCATCTATCGAAAAAGCAAGAGACTTTAGAAAAAGAGCAAGAACGCGGGATTGGCTGTATGTGTGTGTCCGTGTGTAATTCTATGGTCTGCTGATGGCGCGCAGGACTGGCGTTGGTGGTTGAGGCGAGGGCGAAGAAGCAACCGGACGTGTTCTGACTGGTAGCGGAACAAGCCTCAAAAGCTAGTGGGGTTCAAGCCGTTGGGCTATTTCGCGCCCAGAGTCACCCGGTGCTGCGCGATTTCGATGGCGTGACACCATAAACGTAACGAGTGACTTTGTTAAACACTAGTATACTGGCGACAGTGATCAACAGTTGTTTGTTGTGTCGTCGCACTCCAGTCAGCAAAGGTGTTCAATCACTTTCCTACCAATCTTTGTTTTCTTTGAGAAGCCATTTTGTTTAATGTGCCTCTTCTATATGTATTTTGAGGGTGTAGGAGTTTATACAAGCGCTGACTCTCTGAGGACGTCCAAAACGTGTGTTTAAGGTGAGCTGTGCCGTCACAAGATAGAGGATCTACTTTAAAACTACTGGACCATGCTTGGAACCCGAATACTGCTGGGTTTGCTCAGTGCGACAACGGTAATTGCAGTGTTTGCGACAGCTGTTGCCGCCCAGGAGGATGAAACTAATAACGACTTCAACAGAACTGTCAAACGCTCGAAAAGAGGATATGAATACATAGGTGTGTATTAAACATTATGTACGTATGGGAATTCCGCGGATAATAGGCATTTAAGCTTACACGGTTAGGTGGTATTCACATAAATGTGCTTAAAGACGTAATATTTACATAGAGGCACTTTTTACCGGTACGTACTATGTTTGATTAACGATGTTTAACGGTGACTTGGTTGTATGTCTAGCTTAACTTCTTAATTAAAAGCAAACATTCATGAAGGGATCATATCTAGCGGTTATAAGCTACAATCGTATAGTATAACAGGCCTGTTAACTTCAAGTTGTTCAATTTACCAACGGACTGAGCTTTGCGCATGGTAACGTGGATTTTTATCGTGCTTTAGAGGCGCGTCAGGCTCGAAGATGAGTATTGATAATTTTAAATTCTAAGTGCCCTATCCAGTTAATATACTGTCCATCTTTATTCATAGTTTATTTAACTAGTGTCCTTTAATAGGTTCTCTCAAGATATGACCGCTACATGAGATTACCTTGCTTTTTAATCAATACAGAGCCAAGACCCCTCGATTTGCTTAACAACTAGCTTTTAAGCTTGCCACTAAACATTATATTAATGTGACATGAGGAGCGGTCCTGACTGTATGGGACCAGGCGTCAAAAAATACTGATACTTTTACTATATGCATAGCAAGATGTTTGCTTCTCTTTTACTCACATTTGCCGTGTAGTATATGCCGTCATAAAATATGCAAATACTTGGAAATATATAATTGTTTATTTTTACTGGAGGACCAAATAGGGACCGCATAGTCTATCAGTTTTTGCACTCCTTTACCTGGTCCCTAATCAAAGTGTAGTGAGCCCTATACTTCAGCACGGTCGTCTATGACTGGAGCAAGAACCCTACACACTAGACGATTGTTACTCAGATAGAGTAAATTCGATTTTCCGAAATTTCTTTGAAGTTAGTCCTATAATGCAACGAAAGCCTTTTGAATATTTTAGCTTTGCAGGTGATTTACACATTACTAAACACTTTTTAATAATTCATTCATTCATTTTCAGACTATGTTCCACACTATGAGTCGAAATCTTCGCATTACGGCCATGCGGTAGGCCATTCTTATGGAGGTGGCAAGCACTACCATCATCATCACCACAGCCACAAGTATAGCCATTGCAAACATTGCCACAAAAAACACTACCATGATAAGAAACACGGTTAGTATCTATAATACAAGGTGTTATATAGACATTAGAAAGAATGGCGTTATAAATCTTCAATAGGATAAAGGCGTACTTTATCATAAATGAAATTTACTGGACGAGCCACTTTCATTTCAATGGAATCGAACATTAGATATTCCGGGTGCCAATTACCGGGAACCGGTCCTAAAATACGTGACGGAAATCTATTGTACAGATGATTATTAGCTGGCCTACTATAAGCGGATACCATTTTTTGGCCAGCGGACGATACCACTTTGTGGAAAAACTAGGACGCCGTTATAAATCCTTCCTCGTGTCTGAAACAGTGTGAAGAGTCGATCTAAACTTTATAAAAGGTCTGCCTGTAACGTGTGAGCGTTGGTGGATAATGGTATTATACATCGCATCACTTTTTAATTGGCATTCGAAAACGAATTATATGACTATGACCGTTCACGGCGTTGTTGAGAGTTAGCCTTTATCACGGTGCGACACCCTGTAACTGTCGTTATTGACGACCTCCTTCATTGTAGCAGAACGCAGTGAAGATATAAGATACTGAAGTGCGCCCACAACGCAGACAAGCTGTTGCGGTATAAAGCGGATAAAGTGAATGACTTCGTTACGTTCGAATTCAGTCTGCTCTAATGCTTAATAAATGTTTCACTCTACAAAGAGGGGATTTCGCTTTTGTAATTTATGTTTTCATAATGGACATGGAAAAAGGATGAATAATAAATCGTCGTGGCGTTGCTGGTTTCGTTTTTTTTGCTATCCTGTTAGTCATTTGTTAGTCGCTAGTAATGTTGTCGTCAACATATTTGTTTGTTTGTTTCTTTCCAGTGAGCTTAACGGGTCTTTTAGCTCTTTTGGCTCCTTTGGCACTGCTTCCGCTAATTACCGGCGCAGTCGCACCGTTGACGATGGCCCCTCTCGTGGTACCCGCCATGACCCAGGTCGTAGCTGGAACAGCCGCGGCCACTTCCGGCCGACGAAAACGCCGTTCTCTTCCGTCTTTTGGCGTTGACTCTATCCACAAGTATCTACAGAAGGTCAGTTCCACTAGCGTTTTCCACAACAAAAATCATATACTAAAAATATATCACAAAGTGAACGAACTTCAGTCATATTGTCCAGTCAATCAAGTCGAGAGCAGCGTTTGTTGATAGCGGATATGTTTGTTTTGTCCTACATATATAACGATCAGCGATATATAGGGCTGGTGATTTGTCACATAGGACAATTCTTGAAAATGCCGTGTATGTATATTTTTTAATTATATCCTCTATCTCGAAAAACGTGTGCCCCACTTTTTAGTAATCTTTAGTTTAGTGCTATATTGCCTGATACAGAGAATTATCTAATTATATTTGAATTCACTTCAACGATCTCATTTCTTGTGCGAAGCTTTGCTTACTACTTGGACTGTACACATGGTTTAATCCAAGCTACACGGTATATAGACACTTTTATCTAAATGTAGACGAATATCGTCCAAAGAAAAAATCGTCATGCACTGCATTGCAATAGAACTTTCAATAATCTGCATTTTTGAGGCTTTCTAGCAATGTCCTGTTTTGGCGACTGTTGCCTCGTTATCAATCACTTTGAGTTTAGGCCCATAATGTGAGTTCCCATGATAGGTAATCATAGGGACACAGACAGACTTCGGTTCGAGCCAGGAGCCAGCCGTCTGGTAGAGTGCGACAACAGCAATACTAGACGAAACACAGAGGCCTATTATGTGAAACGTTACCTGAACATAGCGCGACCGCTCCAATGTTCTTAAATAGTTTTCAGCTTGTTTTTGATACCATACACACACAAAAAAATACATCCCTGAAAATGCATGGGTAATATGCATGAAACGTCTTTCATACGTTGGCATGTTTTGTATATAAACTTTGTAGAGGGATTGCAAAATGAAACTCAAGTTAAAAAACAAATTTTAATGCTCTTGTTGTAAAATAGGTTAATCCTACAGGTGAATATAACGATGAAGTTATGGCACAGTATCTGAAATGTAGCGGGATGTTGGACGCGAAGAACCACTGTCTTGAGAGACTGACATGTCAATACACCGCCGGAACTCTTAGCAGTCTCGAAAAGGAAGTTGCATCTCTGTAAGTTCATTTTTGTTAGAGCATACGGTTTTCACAAAACGTTTTGTAAAAATAATTATTCAAAGAAAAGCTCCGAACATAACTTATTAGTTCTATAAATTATTTTAGAGCACATTTATTAAACAAATTATGAATATTTAACTCTTTCCGATTATCGATATCGATGGAACCGAAGCCACGTCTTCAAAGATTAACGTTACTACTTCCTATCTCTACTATAGTTGCGTATATAGCACAGGAGTTATACATACATAAGTGAAGTGTTTTTTCGCTTGACATAGCCTGTGAATACATGTAGCTGTTGCCGTTAGCGTCTGATATGTTAAAATACATGCAATCATTGATTTATGATAGTTGACCGGAAAAAAGGGAACGATATAGAATCGTGCACTGCATCTGCGCCTGATAGAGACATCAGATCCTCTTTAGCCCACCACGCAGTAGCCCGACATTTACGCTAAATAATACAATTGAAATCGTCGTGTCTTGTAACTCTCCCAACTACTAAAGATAAATTATCGTTCGGCTTTAGAAAATATTAGGTGCAAGTGACCGTTGCTACACACAAGAGGTATTTACGTGTTGAAATCATTATTATATTAAATGCAGGCACGTAATCTGTCTAATATAGCTATTTTTCATACATTTGAACCGCAGAATTATCTACACGATCGTGAAGAATAGGTTTATCCCTGAGACGTTCAAGGAACAGATGAGGAAAGCAGCATCATCGGGCCGGCAAAGCGCGCTCAAATGCTATGCTTTTCATTGTAATAGTCATAAAAATACCAATGCATTTACGGGATTTGGAAACTTTAAGTAGAACGACTATCCATGCTGCTGATTAAGGAGGCCTTGTGGACTATTATATCAACTTCCGGACGCCGCTTTGTTGCTCTGAAGCTCTATCATTTGCCACAATCCTTGCTCTATGAAAACGTTTCAATGCATCTATAAAATGTTGAACGCAACACGTTTCAGGAAATTAGCAAGCGGTCGCAGGAGCATCACCCTTTTGCTTTTTACGTAATAACATAGCTAAACATTAAGTAAAAAGTTAATTAGAGCTATATCTAGCAATTTTCTCTTAATTTTGTTAGCGTTTCATCTCCATTCGATATTTCAGGTAAGCAAAGGTATTCTTTAGTTTCTTTGAAGTGGTATTTTATGACTAGTAACACTGTTGGCCACAGCTGGCAAGATAACTTTAGAAAGGTATAGGTGTTCTTTGAATATCACTCGGTGAAATTTCCCACTTAAAAGCTATGGTATCCGAGATTGTTGGTCATCCTTTCTTTGACGACTGTTATTTGCCGGTAGGTAGTTTAAAGGCTAATGTAATTCGTGATGGAAATGCCCCACAGTGTGTTAGCTGATGCTTACTAATCAGGCGATTCTTTGAAGACGGCTAGGTAAAAGAAGAACGGCTGACACGATCGAATAGGACCAATCGAGTTGCAGTAGATATTTAAGATACAAAAGTAATTACGAGAAAGGCGATGTATATGGCTCGTTGGGATTTTCGCAGTGGTGTTTCGTTATTGTTGTCTATAAGAGGTGACTTAATAAGGTTATAGCGATATAAGGATATTCTCCCTGAAGTCGCACAATCATCATACTTAGGCAGATGCACTTATTCTGACACGTTTGGTAAAGCCCTGTTATTTTTCTATTGACTAGACCCTTAGAGGGTCAGGCCGACCAGATACACTGGGCTGTTGGGTTCAATTTGGAGGACAGACGTTTACTTACGCTGGCAGGTTTGTTCGTATTGTTGCCGATGCGCGATACCTACTATAGAAACTTATATCAGTCCTCTGAATAGCATATAATCAGAAGTTAATCAAAAGATAGACAATATCGAGTGCGCTAAGATCTCCATCTGTACGACGACAGAAATTCATAGTAAGTTATTCTGTCTTCAAGGTTATTGTTGTACATAGTCTGTGGAGACGTTTAATACATTATTTATTCACAATGCAATTCTTAAGTTAAGCTTTATGTATCGAACTGTAATAAACTGTCGATAACACCAATAAAAAAATGTTTTTTTTTTTTTACAACCCATCGTTATCGGGTCAAGTATCGAATATGACATTTTTATTTTTAAATCGGTCAGCGTGGATTAGAGTAGGCTGAAAAATGCCCTGCACGAGTACGGTTTGCGGATGAAGTACTCAAGTGTAAGTACTGATAAAGTTTGAAAGTATTCAAAATAGTTCCATTTCAGTCGCATGGGCACGATATTGCAATGCCCTTTAATATAGCGATGTGTCCCATTTGGAATTATACTTTGCCGTCGAAACGCCATAGCGATGAGGCTATTTATCAATTTTGCGTAGATGTATAAAAGATATACTTTTTTTTTTTCATAACTTTAGACCCTCCAATTACAAAAATTGTCATATTCTTTCGTTGAAACGTATGCATTCTTCGCGTTCGAATATACGCACTCACAAAAAATAATTCTATAGATATTTTTTTCATAACAACAAAAACCACAAATCTGTCGACTTGCAATCCGCTTAATGTGGGCGAAGGGCGAAATAGCAACCCGCAACGCAGGCAAGAAGGATCTAAAGAGGCGTGCGCGCCTGATGTTTCTCGTAGCGGTGTCCTATGGGTCTCAAGAGTCAGAAGCTCTAAGGTGATCCTGGTTGAGAGTCGAAAAAACTACCGTCTGGAACAAATGTTAGTCGTCCAATGGGAATTTACAAAGAAAGAATTTCTAGATGAGTCTGACAGCAGCTCATCCTCGCCTACTTTGTCATGGGTGCTCATAAGTTAACGCATGAATATGTTCATCAATAATTCACAAAACAGGCTTCCAATTATAGTGCAGAACATCTATAAAATGACGACCGACGCATCAGTCGGAAACAGTGCAAGTATTACCCTAACTTACTACGCAGTTCGAAAATAATCAACCGAGATACCTTATAATCGAGATATTGCCTGACATCGTGCTTACGCTTAAACTAGTTTAGCTTTTGTCTACGTTAAAACTTTCGCCGGTTTTTACTATATGTCCTTCTTTAGAAACACATAATACCAAACTTATCTAACTTGCATCTGTAACTGAATCGGCATGACGAAATTCAGAAAAAACGTCATAGGGCTTTGTCGCCATGATAGATACAATGTTTATTAATGAATACACGAAATATATGAACTGAGTAACTAATACCTATTATATTTGGCGCAGGAACCGGATAAAGAGCACTGGTGAATAGGAAACGATAGCTACTAACTAGTAATTGGATGACAACCTTTTAAGGGGTACAATTATATATAACCACACTATACTTGGTTTCCCCTTCCGATGATCATGAACAACTCTTCGGAGAAATAATTTTCCTATAGGCAACACTACTTAAGCTCATTACTGGACTTATAAAAGAATCGCCAATAGTTCCTTTTTTTGGTAATTGCATTTTTAGATGTTTTCGTACGCTTTCTAACGACGACGACGATCTCCCACTACTAGCGCCAATGATATTTTCGTGCTTCGTTTGCTGAAAATTAATTAATATGCTGCACATTGTTTACTTTTTGACTTTGTAATTACTTTCCCCCGTTCACCTCGCCTGTAAGATCACATTGTGGCTGTTTCTCTCGCCTATTATCATCATTATTACCATTACTCTATTTGCCCTGATTAGGTCATCAACATAAATGGCACCTTACACCAGCAGGGCCACCTCCCCCCCTCATCAGTATTGCTTTTTTTTGGTGCCAATAACTCAATGCTGTAATCAAGAGGATTACTTGTTTTGTTCGGAATGCTTCTCTATCATTCTCTTTCATTCGGTACGCCAGTAATGATTCATTATTAACATCTTTCCACACGTTGCTAAGTAAGGACTTTCTTTTGCCGGCCATCAGTATTCTCCCATCATAGGCCACAACACCCGTTGTTTCGCTGTTCTCAAAATACAGGCAGTGTCCTTGCTATAGAACACCCGTCGTTAAACGTTTCATATCGGCAAACATTCTAAAGCCTTTACGATGGAGGATCGGTAATGATGTTTTGTCAGTTTTCCTTAAGGCTCGCAGTCTGAATACTGATATATAACCTAGTAGGATTTTGTAAGCCAGTCTTTCTTTGTTCTGGCCATTCTGTCCTCTATTTCCGGTTTCGTTTCGAGTCGTCCTTCGAATAATAAAGATGGACCCAGCATTCAAAATCATGTTTAATTAATATGTATTATTATAATCAGTAATAGTACTCAGTATAGTATGTGCATACTGATAATTATCTCGTTTTATTCCCATGCGCAGATCAATAGCCTCACTGCCTCTTGTTTTCACTTTCTTTGCCCCTCTTTTGAGAAATTATAGCTGCATGGCTATGTAGCCATGATAATTATGTCCAAAATATAGTAACTGTAATAATTATTATTACTGGTAATAGAGGAATATTTGTTTTGCTATTACATGAACCACACCTTTTATTTTAGCTCATTATTATTATTATTATTATATCAGAGCTGTTTTCGTCAGGCCGCGTGCCTCGTGCCGCAGGCATGCCGAAGATAATTAACGCTCCTCAAACCTGTAACCGCATGCTTTTTTTTGGCTATCGGTCTGTGTACAGATATAACATTATAACATCGCGATTTTTCGCAGATTGTTATCCCAGCAAATATTTGCCCGAACTTAATGAGACGCTCAACGAAATAATAATGTTGCAGTAGGCCAATATAATGGGTCCTTCACTGATTTCTGTTGCGACAGAGTGGTCTAACTGGGCTCACAAGTATACTTGAAGGGGCGCGCTCAAGACTGCGAGCCCTTAAAAACCATATTCTCCATTACCCTCATCACAATGCGACGGGTGGCACATCCAGAATTCATCGTCGCTAATTCACTTTCAATTTCCACAATAAATTACCAATAACGCCGACGACGAATTTATTAAATAGATATTTAGAAAAAGGAATAGGTTCATGGCATGTGATGGGTATACAATGGAGCACGAAAAAACCACAGGCTAACTCCAGTAACTATAAGTCTCTGCATGCGTCTCTGTGCCATCGAGCTGTCGGCTGTACGTTAACAAAGCTTCTTGGAAGGTCTCACGGTAGGTCTTAAGCAATGCTTAACGGCGACAAACGACGCAAATTAAAATAACTTATATTTTACGATAGATGGGACATTGGAAGCTTAGTAAAACATAAGCTCATGCTTTTCATCATTTCTATATTAGAGGCGTGGGTGCTTGATATCTACTTGAGAACTTATTTTAGGGGTTGTGTACGGCTGCTGAATTGATAGATATAAAATAAACTAGCGAAATATGCGTACGACAATCCGAAATATTTTACTTATTTGCTGAATAAGTGAATGGTGTTGCTTCGGAGAGCGATTTTCGGTAGGGATTGTCGTCTCTCGAAAAAGCTACGCGTCTTGTCCTAAAGGAATAGCTCAGAACGTTAGTCGAATAAAGTCTTGAAAACAGACTTTTCTGTCTAAATGGTGTAGAAACGCTACCCAAACAACCAGCGCACTTTGGCAGTGAAAACAATTGTTAGAGTTATTCTATTTTTTGCCAAAAATTAACTGGACAGATACAATAGAGCTCAATACCTCTGACGACTGAAGTAGTGAAATACCGTTCCTGCCATAGAGCGATGCGTATGGAGGTATGCGATTAAGACAAAAAATAAAAAAAAAAAAACCAGGTGAGGTAGTACCTTTGTTTGATGAGCTAGCACTACCTAGGGGTACTGTAATTATATATAGTGCGTGATACAATCTATGCGCTTTTAGCGTCTCTAACCACACTGCAGCTTGCTACCTAATTTAGAGCTCTATCTGTCCTTTGACTCGTTATGGGAATTGTTTGTTTAGTAATTTAACCTATACGTAGATTGTATGCATTGTCCTAAGCTGAATCATTTTAGTACGCAGGATGACCGTTCCCACAACTCATAAGCCATTTAACATGCTACGTAAGTACTCCGTGATTCAGTTATACCACTAATTTTCGTGCTACAGTCACGGAATCTTTTGCGTCTATAATACCTTTAACCTCATAATCTCAGGGACTGCGCTTAAAACACGCTAGAACCACATATATGGGCAGTACTATTTGACGCAGTTCAATGAATTGCTCGCATTGCTTCCTGCTCTAAATAAATCGTTAGTATCGCTAACCATTTGACATATATATATATATATATATATATTTGATCCTTCCCATCAATCAATATTTTTTTTATTAATAAATACATAGTAGTTGTATCATTATTATACGTTATTCTGAGTAAATCAGTCATTTTCATCCAGTAGCTTGTTATCCACATAGTTGGCATGTAAACAAAAAAAGTACGGCAGTTGTACCAACAACTGCAGACAACGAGATATTGTAGTTGTAATACATAGTATTTTGCGTCCTCTTTACTTTGTCTTCATTCGTTCTCCCTCCCCCCCTCTCTCTCTCTCTCTCTCTCTCTCTCCCCTTCTCCTCTACATTTTTATCTTACCATACCATTGTTTAATCTAATCCTTGGAATCGTTAGCTGTTTGTGTCAGTTTAAATGGTATAATTTATAGAGCATATAATATTTTGTCGATACCCTCTTTTACTAGCCGAACGCGGTGGGTTAGAGCAGGTAGAAGCACCAATAGACGGCGTTAAAGAGCATGTACGACAATGGGAAAATGATGCGCGAGTATTTGTCGATCTTGTTGACATCCTTGATCCGAGGTATGGCGGTACGGATCATCGAAGCGTGCCGCTTGAGGCTGGCCAGCATTCGTGGCCGCCGCTCACCATACTCCGAACGGAAGCGTCTCCGCGTGGCATAGCCGACAGTTGCCCTGGAATTATATGAATTTCCTCTAAGCGGCAGTAGAGGTTTTTGCCAAAGTAGTTACCAGACGGAACACGTGGATGCACAAGAATTGAAACAGGACACAGGCAGGAGATTTCCGGAGGAGATTTCCGATACATACACAATGGTAGAAAAGCAACCACAAGAGCAGCGAAAAGAATACCAAACAATGTAGAAAGTTAGATAGCTCACGCGATTATTAGGATTTAGTGGCAGATCGAACATAACAGTAGGACGGGTCGGATCAGTACAAGCTAAGTATTTATTTGATATCTATGGGAAAATTTTATGTAATCAGGAAGTTGAATAGAATACGTAAACTCTTACGAGAAGGTAAGAATCAATACGAAATTACGAAGCATCTGAAAGGAACAATGGCTTCTTCGATGCTTACAAAATAAACAAATATACTTCGCATTTATTTATGTTAACGTGCGTCCGATAAAGGCAGAAATATACTGTAACTAAATAACAAAAAATTGCGAAGGTATTGTGACTGGAGTGAAGCATCATCTAGAAACACGCACCATACGAATTTACATACGCTGTAACTCGTCATTGATACAACATTAGCTCTTGATGATTGCAAGTTATAAAGCTCAATTTATAAGGTCCAAAGCCCGACCGCAACAGAATATTGACCCGAACGTTAAAGTCTCCCTACGGTACGTATTTGTTGAGGCATGAATTTAAATTCACCCAATTCGATAAATTTTTCTTTGTGTTTTTAACTCTTAACGTTAAACATAATTCTATTTGTAAATCCCATTCATGTTCGATACAATTAGATCGATTTCGATACCTACCTGTGTGTGATTCTGAAGGACGGAGGGTATTTGCCATCTCCTTCGGAGATATTTCCGTACGATCTGCGGCGGTTCCGGATGCAAGGTATGGGCGACATGCGCACGTCGTGCAACTCGATGATCTCTTCGTTGTTCTGAATAAGTGCGTTGAATCATGATAATAGAAATTGATATTATTGGACACTTGAATAATTTGTTTTACATAAAAGGCGCATAGAAGTTTTCTGCCTGAATTAGATCTACACGTTCCTCGTAATAGTTGCTTATAGTGCCTTAAAGTTGCTTAAAGTGAGCCCTTTTAGGACGATATTGCAATGTGTCTGACAAGAACAAATCAGACCATCCATGCGTCCATATACTTTATTGACTTAAATCAAAGGTCTTTCAAGTTGGGAAGGTTCTAAAACGTCACCTAAAATCTTCAAGAAATATCGCAAATAGACGCATATGACGTTTGCCAATTAATATACACAATGCTTCCAGTGGAATTACTATACGACCGAGCGTGTTCACCTGTACCTTTCTTTTTCGTGTTAATCACACTTCTCTTGTTGAAGTAAGCGATTTACGTAAATCTTTAAGCTTAAATACACTTATACTTGTAAAACATATAAATACATATTTTTTAAAATCAAAAAAGAAATACCCCAGTTTTCCATTTACAGTGATCATATTCGCTTCGGGGCTCGCTGAGCAACGAGAATCTACAAAGGCGCTCCGCAGACAAGTCAAAAGTTCTCTTTTGCTCATCGCAGTTACCATTTCCAGTGGAACTTAACCATTACGAACTGTATACGCGAATTCCGCTTCTTCTATCGCTGCGTTTCGTCAGTTATTCAGTAAACTCGTTCAACGTGCAGCGAGTGCAGAATCGAAACAGGAGGTCAGATAAAATTAACACCAGTCATTTCATATATATATAAGACATAATGTGTGAAAAAAAAAAGGTTTAAAGTTGGCCTATGACACAAATCATGTGAATTATAAAAGCAATTTTTGTGACGACTATATGTTAACGATAAACCTTGGGTCGAAACCCATTAGGATGGTGTGCAGGTGGGTAGCGCTCTCACCGGATAAACGGCATCGTTGGGAACATTGAGCGGCGGAGGCGGTGGTGAAGGAGACTTTTCATCCAGCGTTTTACTCTTCTGCCGCTTGGGCTTTTTTTTGGCTCGAGCGCCCCAGTAAGTGTAATTGACGGCGGCGTATTCAAGTAACGCGGCAAAGACGAACACGAAGCACATCACGAGGTAGATGTCTATTGCCTTCACGTAGGAAATTCGGGGCAAAGATGATCGCACACCAGTACTTATCGTCGTCATCGTCAGCACCGTCGTGATTCCTACATTCAGCCAAAAAAAAAACTAATTATTAGCGACTTTTGACACTTATCGAGAGTTGCGTTGCAGTGTTTATCCATTCATTGGAGTAATAACTCCAAAAACGTACACAATTATTAATGGCACGTCAGCTCGCCTAACAAGATCGTTGTATCACTCTCATATGTGTATAGCGCTCATATTTGTTAATCCTTTTCTAGTATAAGTCTCTATTTCTTATAACTATGCACAAGTTGGTCATGTTTTTTTTTTACTATTCCTTTTAAAAACGAGGTAGACTAAGTCCTATACACACACCAATATTTTTAAAAGCTCGATTTTATAAACGTTAGTATCAAGATTAATTTAAGGCTTATGTGTGATAACGTTAATGAGTGTGTATCTTACCTAACGCGACACGAGCAGAAGTAGCCTCGTGATTGATCCAGAACGAGACCCAAGAGAGCATGACAATGAGGATTGAAGGCAAGTAGGTCTGGAAAATGAAGTAGCCGATGTTGCGCTTCAATTCAAAGCTTAGAGACAGCCGCTGATACGTCCCTGTAATCGCAAGTTGTTTAAAATGCTTTGGATGTTCCATATATTCAATATTACGCAAACGAGCTTTTTGTAATATTTTAATTTCTCCTTTTGTGCTCTGACACTGAATTTGAGACGGTAATGTTAGTTTTAAAATTTGCTCACATCTCATAGAAACAATTTGTCACATTCTACTTCAGCGGTATCGAACCCACTCGGCTGCTGTTATTTGTAAAGTAAATACTTGACTCTGTCACATGAAGTACACAAGTGCAGCTTAATCTTAGTATGTGCCTAATTCTGGGGTGGACGGTAACGCTCATATATATCAATCACGCGCATTTCGAATGTGTCGAAATAATCTGCGGCATGTGGCATAATTGCGAGAGCCTTGTAAATGATATGCATGAACAGAGTTGCACGCTCCAGTGGAGCATGCGCGTTCGTCAAAATGCATGACAATCTTCGTGAACAGTCGGTTTGTAGTGAAGGCGCTAAAGTATCCAAATGTATCTACGTACTGCTTCTAATTTGAGCTCACGGTTACTTTGAAGATCCACTGCTGTTTTGGACCTCATTCGTACTTTACTATAGTATACCGTAAACGACAAATTAAAGCTATCTCGTTGACAGTTTTCTCATGAAAAGCTTTACCGACCTGTAGCACCTTCACGAGATCTTACTTTTAAATCTACATCATTAATAATCACTGTTTTCCCTTCTGTTGTAAAATTCTTTTTCCCGTCTAGGAATTACCGGTATCGTAAGTTGTTCTTCGCTCTTCTAACAACGGTGATACTATTGTGGTGACTTCCACCCTTTAAATTAGAATATTAGCTCAAACAGTCTTACCGGTAGCAAGGGACTCTTTTCTATCTGTCGTTTCATGACGGACGATTGAGAATTGCGGCAATTCAGATGATCCCACCCCTCGAACGGGCGTTGGCTGCTTCCAATACATTACCACCTCGTCCACTGTGTACCCATCTAAAATGGTAAAAAAACGAATAAAATTAATTCTAATAAGCTGACTTTGGTAACATACAATGCATATTAAACAGGTGCACCGTAATATTGATCGGTATCAATCCAAAAAAATCACCCGCTACCCCATCCCTTTGCTCAGAATGTCAGACCTTTGGAGACCTTTGACGAACTTCTGTCAGCCGTAGAATTATTCAGTAAAATTCTCCGTCTTAAAGTGTACAACGGTTCAAATATGTTACTTCAGCTTAATATTTTTCTACCCAATTACCATCAAAGCAGAACAAAACGCTTTTCAAAGCTTACATTTGTTTTACAGTGTATTAAATCGAACAATTGAAATATTAGAAATACTTATATACTACAGACCATATCGTTTCGCTACCTGAACAACTTAGTTACAGATCGATACTTGGTTCAAGTTAAAAAAAAAAAAAGTATTGTGAAAAAAATGCATATAGGCGTGTTAGGCTACTATATATAGATAGCTTTAAAAATACATGCTATTAATATACTTCTAGCAAAAACGAACGGATGGAGTTGAACCATATATATAGATGTAGTTATGTGTTTTGGAATGCCTGCAGCTGTGATCGGTAGGCTCTTTCACTGGAAATGTCGGCTATTGCGGTCTTTGTAGGCGACCAAGCATAAAAAAATTCGCAGGCCCATAACGTACTTTGTGATCATAAGAACTACGGTAACATTAGCGTATAATAATGAATGCTTTGTACTTGAGAATTATCAGTGCACGTTGTATGTGGTGATAGCATAGTATAAGAGAAAAAATCTATCACTAACTCCGAGCTGATTTACAATAACTATATACCTACCTATATTTTAGAACGTTTTCAAATTATCTCATGCATGCTTATATTGCAAACTATTACCGACGAAAGGCTTATATCCGTGTGGTCTCTTTTTACATAGCCTACTAAAAAAATTCACCAGATGCGAGCACGTATGAGTGTCATTTCTAAGAAAAATCAAGACGATACAAAATTTGGCGTACGTTTTCTCACAGGCCAGATCGGATGTCCTAGTCTATATCAGAACACTGTACACGACCAGGGCCGAACAGCATGTCCCTCTTTAACATGGGGAAAACAGCTCGGCAAAAATTGGGGTTCGATCAAAAGACCAGCTCGTGGGGAAGTAAGATAGGAGGCAGATTGTACTACTCAGTGAGAATTACTAGAGGAGACAGCTGAGGGTGGCAGCACTGGCGTGTGAGTGCGTCTGTACGATGGGCAGTTTCGTGACTTGTCGGCAGATTCAGGTTATACTGGGAAACAACAAGGACAATTCTTCTACTGGAAGTGTCGCATGTGGCGCTGCCGTTTCTTTGGCTTAACCCCATTCCTACAAGGCGGTACGATCAATTCAGTTCCCGTCCCAGCAGCAATCTTGCAGTGGCAACCGTGCCTCGATCTCTGCGTCATCGCCCGGTAATAGAACAAACGGATGCTGCGAGGCAAAGGATCTGAGACTTCCGCCGTACGCCTGTTCTCTGGCTCCTCAGTCCCTCTTTTTACAGATCAAGCTACTGCTGTCGGTGCTATTGTAACTGATATTGATCTAATGGTGCAGAATTCGGTAGTCGTATAGGTTAGAAGATTTGGAAGGGGAGACTGACATACTAATTCCTTCATGTTCAGATAAAAAAAGGGCCGCTACCGACAGACCTAAGCAAGTAAATAATGATTTGCGCTGTGGAGGGTCAGTTTCGATACACTGTCATATGCAAAAAAGCCTATTGGTTAAGCTGACTTTCGTGTGGATAGACAACAGCGGTTGATCGTCTTTTGTTTTGTGTTTACAGCCGATACCACTAACTTGTAGAATATAGCTTGTGTGCATGATTTACAAGACATGAGTTCATCCGGCTCCAGTTTTGTAAAAAGCTCCTGTCCATCCTTCCTGCCAGTCTTTACCAAATTAAAGTAAGTAGTTAACGCTGCGAATAGAATATTGTCGTCCCTGGTTTTCCGTATTATAGAAGACATAAGTCATGCATAAATCAGAAAAGGTACGTGTAACAACAAGTGCATGCATGTCGTCATGTAACTTACAGCTCTCGATCTCCACGGTGCAATTCTGCGCGTCAAGGGGATAATAATGAAGATCCATCATACAGGCTAAGGTTGTCGTAAATCTGAAATTGCGTCCAAAAAAATGAATTTGATATTATTGTTGTTATACTTTTTTCCTTGTTTACGTATATCCCGATTAAGTAAATGGCTCGTTAGTTATCTAATCTATCGGCTATCTGATAAGTTTCATCATGAAAGCACGTTGAAGCAAATGGATGTGCCCGTCCTTTCTAGAAAAGGAGATAACAAGCGACAAATCCTCGGAGCTCATGGTTATCCAATGCATCAACTCGAATCGGAAAATAACTTGGCCAGTCTATTTCGAATACCTTCGAACAGTCGCTCGTGGCTCTGTTAGGTTTGTGTCACGCCAAGGAAAAGGACGACAAGAAGGAGAATATGCTTATATTGAAGAAAAAGAAGAACTGTCGAGACGCATCCTGATGCTTTCAATATGGTAGCTGCTGCTGATGCTGCTCGCAAAAGAAAATCTACCCTCTAATCTTCAAAGATGATTTAGTCACACATGGTAGCCTAGCAAACATTGAGCCTGGTGTCGCTACTACAGCTGGAACTATCCGTTACTGCGACCCATATTGGGGTTCAGGGATTTGCACGACGAGAAGGATCAAGGATTGAGTTGCCACGCAAGAAGGGCTGACAGCTCGCAACTCTACCAGCCCCGTCGTGTCTGACGCCGAACCAATATAGAAAATATAGTAGTCTGTATCTAGGAGAACAAATACATGAAAGGTTTCTCGTCCTCTGTATCGTAGTGTTCCGGGCGCACTGCTTCGTGGCCTAAACACGGTTTGCTATATCAAAAATTTGATATAAATACGTATATTTACATGTTTACGCAATACATAATACGCACAAAGTACACGTTTCGATATTTGTGGCAGTTTTCAATGTTGACAATTTCCCTGGCACTCACCTGTGCATATATTTTCCTTTGGACTCATAATGATCTTCCGATAGTATACACCTTCAAAGACAATTATCCATCAATTTCTTTCAACGCTATGGCTTCACATGGTGTGACTCTACAATGAAAAGTCTGGCTAGTCACGCGCCGTTAAACTTTGTTTAATACAAGTCATCTAGATAATCTAGTCCTCTAGTAACATAGTAAATAACAGTTGACTGGCCTGTGGATAGAAGCCATTGAAAGCCTTATCCCACGGTGTTAACGTCGAGAATAAAAAGTGTAGGGGAAATACAGTACGCATATACGTAGTACAAAGTTACGACAGGTATGTAGATACGAACAACTGGGTGTCTTAATAAATGGCCTTAACCCTGATTTTATATTCGCCTATTAGGTAAGAGAGCTTTATACAGCCTGAAATACGGATAAGATTTAAAGCTACACCAAAGTTTGCACCAAGAATGCGAAAAGATATAGCGCGAAAACATATCTAAAGATGTGTTGTACTCCGTTACGTTCGCTGAATTTGTGTCTTTTATCTGATGGAATGTTTGACGGCGGTGTGGGACAGACAATTTAGAAACAGTCAGTTTATATTCGCCGAATCTCTTTGCCGTCTCTCTTCCAGCTCTGGCGAAAAGATCAGGATTTCTAAGCAAGATAAACACATACACACACCTAGAGTTGTTTCGGCATTGCCAACTTTCTTCACTTGCCAACTAGAACCACTGGCTTCTACTATATGCAAAGGAGGAGCCACCAATTGCACAAAGGAGGCGCCCTTATCGGCTTTTGACATTCGAAAATTTCTACAGGGGATATCCATCAATACGAACTTGTTTTTGCCCTTTATGTGAGTATCACGCAGCTTCAAATCGTAACGCCATTCAGCACAAGATGGCACCATTCTGATCATAGAAGTTATTAGCATTTAAACATCCTTCTATCAGAGCTTATGTTCTTGAATGATTAAGCAGATATTAACTAAGGCAGTAGCATAATTATTTTTCAATATGTAGAACAGACCAATTTAATTTTGTCGACGATCTCAAATTGTTCCATGTCTATGTAGACAACAAATAAAGTACTACTTACCTCATTCCGTACGTGATGTGTCCGTCTGATTTGAGTCGAACCATTTTATTTTTTTCCGTGACATCATGAAGAAATGAATTTTTGTCGTTAGCGAAGAACGTATCTGGCACCCAGATCTTCTCGGCAAAATCACCTGACAACGTTAACTCTTGGCTTCCGCCCTCACCGGAACTGAATGCCAATCGCTCGTCTACCCAATATTGGTTCAGGTACAGTGTAATCGTGTAATCCATATTTACCTCGGAGATGCTATCAAAACTCGCGATCAGCAGATCCATTCCTATGTGCAAAGGTTTGCCTAAGATAGAATCACAGGTCACATATGTGAAATGGCTATGTATTGCTTCATTATTCCATAGAACTAAGGTTGAGAGTCCTTTTTCCCATTACCGGGACCAAACATATGTTTTATAGGATTCGAGCTATGTTTGAATCACTCGAAGGCGCTTCACTACAACGATAAAGCGAGACAAGTAACGTATCTAAACATGTAATTATTTCATCTTTGCGAACAGAAATAGTTTTCAAGCACACATGATTCTGTTCGAATAGGTCAGGACAACGAAAGCAGAGATGACCTTTCTCCTGTAAAATACTGGACTTCTCCTAAGTATATTGTATAGAGTTAATGCGCGCGTAAAAGGATTTAAGTATGCCGTCTAACTGGGTTTTCGCACCAAAACCCAATATCGATTTATCTTAATTCAAAATTTCTTTCAGTCAGAAAACTACAACAGTTTAGAGTAAGTCAAACCATGACTTAAATGGTCAGGTTTTAGCGTTGGAAAACGGTCGGTCGAAGGACATTTATGTTTTTTGCAACAGTACAACTTGAACGATGAAAAGATGCTCTCTTAGTTGTTTCTAGAAAATCTTTGTCTGAGCCTCAGAAGACCAGCCCTATTTAAAAAAAATAGCGAGTATGTATCGAAGATAGCAGCCAGGCTCATTTCCCCTTATGACTAGCATTCTCTTTGTTATTACATCATTCGAAACAATCCGTACGTTCTCTTAAAACAAGTCCCATGTTCCGCCGTTTAACGGACGTAGTGAATGCTTCCAGTTCGACATTCAGCGCCGCCATTCGGCATCAGATTGCTGACTTCTAGCACAAAATACACTGTGTCTGCGCTTGGATTCGAATTTAGACCATCATGAATCCTTAAGATTAGAGGGAAAAGAGGTTACCCGTAACGATTTAACCGAGATAATTATAATGAAGTAAATCGGGTAAGATGCCGTATGGGTTGGAGGCGTAACGCTGATGTTGCATTATGTCAAAAACACGTCGCTGGGTGGTAGACAGAGTCGCTAGGGAAATATGACCTTTTCGATATAATGCGCGACCGAATGCATCTAGCAGATGGTTTCGACTAACGATGTCCGTTGCTGGATTGAACTTTCTTTCCGAGAGGGATTATTTATAATCTATGAAGGACAACGTTGCGCTTTGGCAGTGTTCATAAAATGTGCTAGTCGACATCGAGGTTGTGAACGGAGCACGCAACATGACCTCCATTCACTGGGGGACGTCGCGAGGCCGGTGCTTATTAGCTAGCAAGTGACTAACGTAAGATGTGAAAACAAATTCGGTGGTCAACATCTTGCAATCCGCGCATCGTCCAGGTTTACTCGTATCTATAGTCATAATACCTCCTACACCTACGCGTACAACCAGCGCTACCTCTAAAATCGACAACTGCTTAGTAGTATCCGCCTATCATATAGACATTTACATAGAAGTAATAATCGGTTATAGTGGATTTGCGCTGGCATTTTTCAAATTAGTGATTTATTAAAGCTAGAACATCGATCTTAGCTTGCAATTTGGCGAGCGTACATGTATTTTGCTAGCGGATAAGGCTAGTATCTTGTTAGTCTCTCTTGCAGGACAGGCCTACCGCCAGTATAATTTTACTAACTGGAACGTCTGAATAGTGCCGTGTTGGAAACGGACAGACGAATCGTTGCCGAAACGATTTTTGAGTTGGTTGCATTCGACAATGGCGGTAATGAGTTTACTTTACTGGCTAATGAAAACGATCCCATTCTCATACTATTTACATTTGTGGTAAGGTTGTCTTGTACAAGTTCTGCACTCACCCCCAAAATTAGGTCTTAACCGAATGTCGTAGCCGTTGAGAATGTTCTTTAAAATGTCGGTGATGTTTTCAAGTTGCTCAGGCCGTCGGTTGATCTGACTCGCGTGGCTGAAACATCAGAGGTGTTTTCAGATCCGAGCCAGTTTTTAGTAATGTTGATCGAATTGTAAGTACCTTAGCTAGCATGCAGTCGTTGATTACAATATAGTGCATTACCGAACACTCGATTGCCTCGGGTGCAATAGATCAGAACTATCCTATAGCATGAGGTCGAGCTTGGAACAACTTACTTACGGATACGATAAGATCTGGGTACAAATGCTGAAGTAAATGCGACTAGACTTAGGTACAGGTCTCAGGAGTAAAATATCGTTCGGAATACATTAAATGGAAGGCAAAGCAATCGTTTGATGATGATAATTGACGAAAATCAGCTTGGCGTCTACTTTACATCGTGCCTTAACTCTCGTTTAGATTTAATCTACAGATCAGCTTATGTTCAACAATCCAAGCAAAATTGAAATACAAACAGATGCCGTCTCACATGTGTAACGACCGCTCTTCACAATTTACATAACATTATGTTCATCGCCGGCTATAAGTGAGAATGATCTTACTGGTGTCATGGAATCCGTCAAGAAGCGCTAAGCGCATAGTAACAAACTATAATTAATTACCTATTTCATTCTTCTAAATTTACGTTCGAAATCACCCATTCTTTATTGAATATATGCCATTCATGAGTTGGACGTGCCGCCTGTTTATGATATTCAACCTTTAATTAATTTACTGGAAAACATATCATTTTTGTGATCGTCAAGCCTGTCACAGAATCTACCTAGATAGAAATAATAATAGGTAAAATGGGGCCCGACGTTATGATCTCGAACGAAGTCGACAGCTGTCACCGATAGATTTTCAAGCTTGCACTGAGAATAACAGTCGTTGAAACCTACAGACGACCTAGCTTCAGCTAGTTTTGGGGAGTGATTTATGTTCCGCATGCGGATCGTCGTCAGCTCAAGGTCGAGACTCGAAGATCGACCCACTTTTATAGCGTTTTACTCTTGTCTGAATTACTATCATTGTTACTATCACAGTTAATCTAGAGGTGTGGCAGGTATGTCTATTGCTATTGTGATAATGACTATCCCGACCACAATAAGAATCATATTAATAAAATACACGAATCAACAGATTATCTTCACAGAAGGATTACCTAGAGGAAATTGCGTCCGAACTAGCTTAATCCTACCTGTGGAATGATTGCTGTTTTTCACGGACATCACCTGGAGATGGATAGTTCGTCGACCAACAAGGGCACCGTAACAAATATCTATGTTGAAGTAAGAAAGCCATAGAGGAAAGCACCTGCTTCTCGTTACTGTTAGATTTATTCCGTCGCGGACAGTGACGGTAACTGAGTGACTGTAGGGTTGTGTGGATATGTATGTGTATATGTACGAGAGTCTGCGTTAGGCGCCTGCTACTGGCGTCCACATAAGCAACTAGGGCTTTTGTCCTCTGGTGTGAGGGGTGCATCACCGCAAGACTTGAAGGTCAGCCCTTCCTAAAGCAAGCCTGTTCGGGCGAATAAGCAGAAGTCTTTTTGGACATTGCCGCCGAATTCCGCTTTACTCTGCTCTGCGGTGAGGGCCCGTGACGATTTCGCCTGACTTCCTGTCCCTGCAGAATAGTTTGCGCCTACCGCGAGGCAGAAGGGAACATCTCCGTGACCCCATAGCCCCTAATACCCTGCCGTTTTTTGCATGCCTTAGAGACTGCGCAAAAGCACACTTTGCTGTCGCTCGCTGGTTTGCACTTGCATTTAGGCCGCCGCCCAGCGTCGAGGAGACCAATTTGCCGCGAGCAAAAATTCAGCATAATCAAAACGGCCGGCCAACCAACACGTCACAGGCAGTCACAGCGACGCACAGTCACTGCGACGGCAAGTGAAAGCGTTCCGTGCCGTATTGGTAGGAAAATGTATTTACGCAAACTTAATTTCGCCTCACGAGCAGTTCCAATTTTCACTCTGGTTTGCGGAGACTTCGAACCCCTCGAAGGGACGACATATAATCTATAAATCTATAACAATAACGACTAAATAATAAGTAGATTGTGTGTCGTTGCAAAGTGTTTGCAGCAACAAAAGCAAAGGATTTTTAATAATAAAAACAAATGAAATAGATTTTGCGACATACCGTCGATTATTGCACCGACTAGCTCGATCGTAAGATGGCTTGAGAAGTGACCTGTAAAATTATGATGAACAGCATAATATGCTATTATGGGCAATCTTATACTAGTTCGTTCGATATGGACAATATGCCCGCGTATTAAATAGAGAACGTTATAGTGGTAAATGCACTCTGTTAGTATAACGTGTTCCGTAATAGTAGACCCCCATCTACTTTCATTATACAGAGAAGATAGGCTTTTAAATAATATTTGCTTTTTCGAATAAAATAACATACCGGTAATATAATAAACACAGCTACAGCAGCGAACAAGTCCGGAGGAATGAAAACGGGACGTTTTGAAACAGATGCACGTTAACCATGCAGGATCGGCATTATCTGTGTACGTAGTACGGCAGTTCCTGTCTAATACAAGTTCAAGTCAGCAATAGTGAATCTCCATCTAATGTTAACAGCTAATCATGGAGAAGAGGACTTCTAAACACTGCCAAAACCGTCACTAGAGCAGACGCTATCTATGCGGTCGCTTAAGTCTCTTGATTACGATGCGCAGAAGTGCAAATCGGATCAGCCGTTCACTTTACGCGGAGGGCCATGTCTGCTTGGGGCAGTCACGTGCCGCCTCGACCACCAACATGCGTCTGAACTTCCCGTACTAATAATTTCTGTGCCAGATCGTGAGCATACGCGTTATTTATTTAGACGCAAAGCACCGCTATTATAATTAACACCGTGTGGAATACAGTTTCTTTTCGCACTTATATATATATGTATATCGCTTTTCGACAAATAAATAGTATTATGGTTTATAGTATTAAGATTGTATGACGAAAAATAACAAGTATAATATATTAGTCAGAGCATAGTGAATCCCGTAAGCGTTCCTTGAAATTGTATAAGAGATATCGATGTTACTGCCAGGCCATCTTAGAACAAAAGTAACTTCGATACAATAGAAACAGATAGAAGTGAATAGAGAACGCAAATTTGTAATAAATACGAATCCTGTTGGCGCTGGAGATCACCTATTTACTGGCGTAATATCATATTGAAGTTTTCGACTAAATGAGATAAGTCTATCAGTGTTGTTCCGTGGAGTTTTCCTCGTACCCTTTAAAGTCCTTCTGGCAACCATCTTCCGGCACTCTATTGCCGTCGTTAACGGTTCAATCATCCACACGTAACAAATTCATCTAAAATCCTGATGAACAAATCTGTTCTGAAAGCAGCATTTAAACGATGGTCCAAATATTTTTTTTTGGTTTTAGCACAATATCGTGTTTATTTCTCTTTTTATTTTTTTTACAATACTCTTATGTTACTGACGTTATTTCTGGCGTCTCACTGAATCGTTTTTCTTTAGCGTTTGGTTGTCATCTTTGAAATAAGAAATAATAACTGAATTAAATACAAAAATACTAGACGCGAGGCTTGCGACGATACATCATCGTTATTGCTATTTTTTCACACAAACATATTGAAATAATTTCCACCGGGACCTTTTGCGTCCGCTAGTGCCGCTGAAGTCTATACGATAAAGATTTGCGGTACCTACAAGCCAGTTTTTTCCTGTTTGGGAAGCTTTGTGCTATTTACCTGCTGTTTTGAAATAGACGATGCCGCTACAGGATAAGAGCAGATTCTAGTCATGATTGTCTAAGTCTGGATAGACTTTTTAATTTAATTTATTTTTATTTAACTACATATATAACTTAACTTTAATCAACTTAATTTATTAACTTGAGGCAGTTTTCATGCATTTGCTCGTTCAATCAGGCTCATTTGATTAAGTACTATTGAGCATTACAAGCCCGAAAAAGAATCAAATAAATTCGTTTAAAGGAACAGAGTTGATTATTAATTACATTTAAAAATAAGAATATTCTTTTAATTTAGTAAATATTCACTGCTATTAAGGAAAAAGAAACGGTCTCCTTTTATTCACGTAACCGTTTTAAAAATAGAACAGAGAAGAGCTTTCAATTCACCCTCCTACTAGCAGAAAAATACTTTGAATGCAAAAATTGTATTTTATGTTAGTATGTAATTTTTTTTTGTTTAATGTTAAAAAATTCCAGAGAAACAATATTTCAGTATGGTCAGTCATGCAAATACAACAACGATACTTACGGGAACATCTGGAGCATTATATCAAAGATAAAGTTTGAAAAATAAGTCGATTATTTATCTTTAGCACTTCTTCAAGCATTTTCATCGATACTCTATCGAAGCTTCGGTAACCACCTTCGTAAAATTACTGCTTATATAATTCTGCATCTAATTTGCGTTCTCTCTGATACGATGTTATTGCTAGTGTTTTATGCTGTAATGCACGTATACATAAAATAAACGTGGTGAACAGTGCAATTTATACGTAGAATTTGTGTGCGAGAAAATGAGTAAGTAACAATTATTTTATTTCATTTTTATATTATA